CAACAAGGCGATGACTTCTTGAGCTTCGCAACCAGCAACCAGGTCACCGCTTTTTTTTTGCCTTTGTTTTTTTGCGGTAACAATGAATTGTGGTCGAGTAGACTATGTTGTGCGCGGTCGAGAATCCTTACTCCGCGCAAGGGGGGTAATCGCATGTTGTGTTAATTTTGTCATGCACCCTCGAGGTAGTTACACAGCACTTACCACTGTCTCTGGAAGTGAAATCACCAGAAAATATATTTAGTCATACGCAGCTGTCATTCGTACGCAAGTAAAAGCAAGCACAAGATGCCGAACACCCTTAGCACGATGCAGACAGTTCAATGCACTGTGAAACTGCCTCGAGGGTGCTTGGCCAATTTGTCACAACGTGATGCAATCATCCCCTCTTCCGCGGAGGGAGATTTCTCAATCCCGCACAAGACTCGACCACCATTAATTTTGGCTACCGCAAGAAAACACCAAAGGAAAATAAAAAATGCGGTAACAACCTGGTTGCCGAGCTCACGAAGTGATTCGCTTGCTTGACAACGTCGTTGCCAAGTGACGACACCCAACCCCGATGTCAACCACCGGGGGGGGGTACTCATTGTCGTGCATGACGTACACACATTGACCTCGCATCCCTACAAAGCCGGGACGGAGCACGCCGGGTTCTCACTGGACCAGGCTTTCGCATCACCTAGCGCGAAGCGCCGTGATGCATTCGGCGGCCTTATAGGGATGAGGTCAATGGTCTAACGACTACGGCATGCACGACAATGAGTACACGCCCCCCCCGCCAACCCCACCCCCTCACGACCAGGATTGACGCGTAGCCTGGGGGTGTTCCACAATTTCTACATGGAGACCTCGTGGAGATTCCTCTGTTCAGAAGTATTTCGACAATATTAGGAGAAGTTGTATTCATTTCTCCGAAATTCATTGAGCGAGGGGGGCGGAAAGCCCCACCGACCAACTTGATATTCATACATTCCGACATAATTCCTACCATGATACGAGGAGAGGATAGATTCATCTTCCGAGAAGGTGGGGGAGATTCATTTTAACCGAATTGGTTCCAGGAAGATGGCGAAGTGGTAAAGACGAGGAAACACATTGTCGCAAACTTCTTGTGTCCACTACTGCTCGCGGACGGGGATGAAGTTTGCGAGGGGGTATGGCGGGTGCCTATGGAGGCATACTCAAGATATCGCGAAACTTGCGACGTAGATCGACATCGGTCTGTTGATTAGTGCGAAACTGACCATGAGGTTCGAATCTTCCAAAAAGAGCAATGAGGGCATGAAGGCAGCGAACCCGTGAAGGCGAGAGAGAAACAGAGCGCGCATGGTGGCACATGGCACTTGTGGCATACGATATTGCACGCGAAGTCGATCTAACTTGGGGACGGGTTAAGATTTGGGATGCCCTATCGAGGCAGATCGGCTTTTTAGACACGGTTGGGGAATCGGAATAAGAGGATGACCAACAAAGAATTGAGGTCGGAGAGACTGGAACTTACAGCGTCAGAAAATACCGACCATCTCCGACCAGCACGGTTGCCCGAGGCAAGCTGTGTTGCCAGGGTGAAACAATTTATCCCGATCGGAGGGGCAGGTGCGGTGGGTATTTCCCAACATGCATGCCGACGTTGTCCCCTCAATCTCTTGGGCGTGCTTCCGCTTCCTTCCCCGAGGCCATGCCTACCATGATGCATATGTCATAACGGCATCGACTACTTTTCGAACGAGTGCTCAATGTTGCACCCTTTACGGCGCCCAACGCACTCTGTGAGTTTAGGCCGTATTCGACTTCGTTGCGTCACACGCGTGATTCGAGGTCCTAACGCGAGAGGTTTCCCTCCCGTTTTTCACAATTTTCCAACCGGAAGTTTCAATCAAAGGGATTCACTACTTTTTCTTCAAGAGAGTGAAGTATAGTGATTCACCAACGGGGGCCCTGGGTCCTGGGTGATGTATTGCATGCAAATTGATTCCAATGCCACAGGAAGGCCGTGTTCTGAAGTGAAAATATTTTCAGTGTATGCTTTTTTCACGGCTTCACGTTCACTAACATGTATCCAGCCCACCTTTCCGCGTTGACTCCAAGGAAGATACGGGGAGGGGGTGGCACTTCACCCCACTCCAATATTTTCTGGAATAGATATTCCAACCGTCACGGGTGCGAATCCTGTGGGAAACGCCAAACGGAATATACTACAGGGGGAAACATATCGAAGAAAACACCCAGAAAAATCTCCTGCGCCTCGAAATCAATTAGAGCCAGTCATGTTGAATCGGATATATATGCACACAGCAGCATAAATATTCCACCGAAAATATTTATTGTTACAAAATACAGACCCTAAAAGTCGTGTTGTTGGTTACGCAAGGTAGAGATGAAACGTACGCTCTGTCCCAAAAAAAACAACTGTGGTTCTTCGCGAACCACGGCAACAGACGGCCAAGGAAACAAATCAGCCCCAAGGGAATGGAGTTGAAGCTTTCTCAGGTTTTCACAGCATCCATCCGTCGTACGCCGAACAACGGGGCGTGCACAGGAAAATCCCAAAAAACTTCAAGCGAAGAAATATGAAGAACTCCCATGGCGGTCGTTGCGTTACCAGTACAATACATCGAGAATAGGTCTCGTACGAGGGAAGTTCACAATGCATTTACACATCTCAATGTACATGAGAATATTTGAATCAAAACCTTCACTGCAGCAAAAAGTGTGTCTTTGCCACATGGTTTGCACCCGGCAAAACTTTGTTGATACCTATTCCCCCACTGTGCGTACCCTATAACCCTAACCCCTAACTTCGACCTACTATTATTACATCTTTCTAACACGTCTCCAGGACAGTCTGTATTGTGTACTACACCCGTGACCTTCGCACGACCTACCAATATCTGACTTGACAATTCTTGGGAAGCACGGGCGACCGATGTACCATGCAAGCCACCACTGTTTGGCACTTCGCGCGAGATGGTGTCTGTCCATGGTGGTAATGGCTCTCAGTCTGTACCCACACTTCACCAGAGAACAGTTTGTCTCAAAAAGCAAACCCTTCTAACTTTTTCAACTGCGCACGAAGAGAGAAAGGTAAGGTGGACTTCCTACGAGACTACTGGCACGCTACAATGAGATTTTGTGGCACCTGGAGAATGGATACGACAGAATTACCAACGCATCGGAAAAGCAAAAAACGCACGTACTTTGGGTTCAGAATATAGACTATTCTTGAGTATTGAACCAGGGTGTGTCAGAGGCGGGGGGCCGTGCCCTTGATTTAGTCGTCAATGCTTCCGTCCTTGTGGCACATATCGATGATGATGGTGGTCATGCGGAACGCTCTCACGCTCTCCAAAACGACGCCGACGGGATGGAATAGTCGTCGGCCTGCATGCGTTGAGGAAGGCCAGAACGTACGTACGTGCACAAACACAGCAAAGAAGGGGAGCGTTTCAATATACTCTGGACAACCTCTTCTCAAACGGGATCACGCGCGTAGAGAGGGTGATATCCGCCAAGATGTCGGGGCGGCATTTTTCGAATGCTCTTATGAGGGCACACAGCCCAACAAATTTGTCCCCGACAGCGATGGGGGGGGGGGTGCGAAAAAGCGAAAAAATCCATCATGAAGAAAAAGATGTTCTGGGTGACCCAAAATCTTCGCTTCTCGTTGGTGGAGGCAAGGCAACTCGGTACGCAGATCACCCGACGAGGGTAAACACGAGTGCAACGTGCACCGTCGGGTAGGTACTCTGAAACACGTTGCCGCGGTATCCTGTAGTCAATCATCTGCCTGGCGGAACTCAAGTTTCAACCTCCTCGATCGGATCGTTACAGCGACCATTTACCTTTGAAGCATCCACGATAAAGCCACCGTCCGCAAGAGATGCGACGGTAATCCTTGAGAGCTCCATGCTTCCCTGAAGAAAAACGGCGTGGCCGGGCAATTGAGGATTCTACACGTGCATGTCGTATGAAAGACAAAACAAGCTGCAGGGGGTGTAGAAGCCGCGCGTTTTTCTGTGCCGTGAAGGGTTTGACAAGGAATGCTATCCCATCAGCTGTCACGAAAGCAATGCAGCTCCACATACATACAACCAGGGTCGTACAGTACAGTTCTGGTCGAGAGGTGCGATGATTGCCTACCGTCCGTCCGTCCGGTTGCGCCTGATCTCAGGGCGAGGCGATTGTTGCACTGTTGTTGACCCTTAAACAAGAGAAGGCAGGCAAAACTTTCGCGCAGACGCTTCTCTGACCTAAGGAACCCACACGTATTCTCATGGGGCGGTTCCACCTATCTGTCTTCTTCACACGGTCATTTTCAGCCTCGATACCAGCGCCATCATCGAAAATGTTTGCCGCTTTCGCTCTTGGAAGAAATTCTTGCCGTGAAGCTGGCGAGGATTGAAATGCCCGAATCTCAATCACATGCCTACAGTGCGCAAACTCGCGATGCCACCCCCACCTCGCTTGCGCCTGTCGTCATGACCTCTGTTCCGAGCACGTTTTCACTCCAGTGGCCACAGTCGGCTGTCAAATTGGAGCGGACAAGCGACGAACATGGCCTCGGCTTTACGGTGCTAATGTAGACGGTACCGGAGCGCGCCAACATCAACCAACAGTTTCAAGAGAAGCACGTACGAGCTATCCCGTACTTGTCTAACCAACTCTGTAGCGAAAAACATACAGTCTACTGCAGTCCGGCTCGGGAAAAGAGGCTAACAGGCGGTCCAACAGTTGATTCGTGAACCAAGTTATTTTATTGAAACAAATTGTGTAACTTACGGTCGATGAATTTTGCAGGGTCTCCCGCAGCGTTGCCAGCGAGGTTGTTGTAAACCTCAGCCGCCAAAGGGCACTTCCACTCGACGTCGGGGCTACTCGAGTCTGGGTCGCACCTCGAGCAATCGCCCCAGAGGGTTCTGCACCGGAATATATCGAATAAATTGCGTCCACGAGCGAACCCAAGTGTTTTGACATCGTCACTCGTCGAGCGCAATGACAGGCAGTTGCACCTGCGATAGAAGACACTGGCTGCTTCACAGTCTCGACGAGCATACCGAAGGGAAGTACTGGAGGTAGAGTTGCTTCGTCCTGCGCAATCCAGGTGGAGACTTTTGCGTGGACTGGAATCAGAACGATAGGTCTCAAGGACGAGCTAGGCTTCACAAAAATATTAACGCGTGCTTCCGAAGGGCTAGACTCGGTTGGGAGGAATTGTGCTCGTTGGCAGGTTACTGTGTACCTTTCGCGGGGAATCGAAAGCGAGATGGAAGTGGCATACATAAATACATAGGTCTTTACTGGTCGACGAATACTGGATATCTCCACGTGAGTGATTGATCATGTCTGCTTTCCTTACCCGACGCCAATGACGTGACCGATCTCATGAACGACTAGACCTTCCAAAATGCCGTCGTCCTCCAGGTCATCGATGTCGTCCGAGTCGAATATCCTAATGGGTAGCGTTTCCACAAACATGGGCGGTATTCAAAACGCATCGTGGGTGTACGAGGTTCACCAAGTGCAGCACGGAAACTGTTGCGACAGTCTCCCTGCCTTCCACATGTGCAATCCCACATGTTTTCCGGTGTAAGGAGGACAAGGTCCACCCGCGATGCCCTCGAATCAACGTTGCCAAGATCTAACCACAACGACACTCACATTACTCCCATGTAGCTGACACCTGGGCAGTCACCATAGACGTCGCTCGGCCCGCCTAGAGCGAACTGTCCCCCAGAACCATCGATTTCGTGCTGGGTGACACTGATGATAAGCTCTCCGGTAGCGCCTTCCGGGTGGGTCCCTGTGCACGGAATGTGCGTCACGACTTTTTCCCACCTACCGGTTAAGGTTTTGGTTTGGAGGGACAAATGTGAGGTGTGGATGAAGATGATGGAAGGAAACGGGGAGGACAGTTTCGCCCTCGGCGTTTCAGCCTATGACCGTTTGGCTGCGGGTTACGCATATGAACGGGCTCAGAAAGGACGGCGCTGGTAGAGCTACAGGCCCGATAATGTAGGTGCTTGCTGCCATTCCCCAACATTTGCACCACTCCTTACCGTAAATCAACCTTGAATTGTGAGTTGTTGGGTTGTGGGTTCTTCAACAGTGGTAGCAACCTAACCTCTTGGCCGCGGTTTGGAAAATGTCCTTCCGTGTGGCGTCCAAAGCCCCGTCCCACGTGCCGTCGAATTCCAAGGTAATGAAAAACTCCGGTAGCCCTACAAGAGTATGGCAGCAAGCGCGGTGTGTCATGGAACAATTGAGGGACCGAGCATGGGGATAGGCATCTTTGGGCTTCCAGAAACGACTGACACCTTCGGCGTTAGCTTTGATTGTGGAGGGTTTGCTACACTGTCAATATCCATGACAGTTTCTCCCTGGAACCGTGGTCAATCCCAGGGGTGCACCTTCACCCTGAGCAACTTGAACATTGGAACAAAATCTCGTCAGCGCATCACTTGCAGTTGACGGTAGCAGGGCGCGTGTACAACAATCCTCCGCCGCCGCTATTTGGAAGCTATAAAAGATCGTGATGCGCCGAACCTGTGGTGTCAGTTTCGCAGTTCATTCCTCCATAGCTGCTGGAACAGGAGCACGAGTAACCTCCGTTAGGGTCCACCTCACACGAGCCTTCGTTGAGGCAAGGGTTGGGGTTGCATTCACCGTCGCCCGAGGATGAATCGTCTTCTGCCTCAACACTCTCCTCATCGTCGTCCACAGCCTTGTCAGCGTCGTCGTCGTCCATACCCTCGGAAGAATCGTCATCCACACCTTCGGTAGAATCGTCATCCACACCTTCGGTCGAATCGTCATCCACACCTTCGGTCGAATCGTCATCCACACCTTCGGTCGAATCGTCATCCACACCTTCGGTCGAATCGTCGTCTGCAACAACATCAGCATCGTCGTCATCAACAGCGTCAGCATCGTCGTCTTCAACAACGTCAGCGTCGTCGTCTTCACCAACGTCCGCGTCGTCGTCATCAACAACGTCAGCATCATCGTCTTCAACAGGGTCAGCATTGTCGTCATAAACATCGTCAGCATCGTCGTCTTCATCAGAGTCAGCTGCATCATCGTCAGTCGTGTCGTCTCCGTTGGTATCGTCATCCGTATCATCCCCGGAAGCATCAGTCGGAGGAGTATGAGCAGTCACTGGAGCAGCCGTAGAAGCAGTCACCGGAGAAGCCGAAGGAGCAGCCGTCGGAGCGTCAGCACGGGCAACAGTCGAAGAAACAGCCGAAAAATCGTCTTCATCTGAGCTCCCATCTCTAGGCGTCCAGCCGTCGCCATCGTCGTCCACTTCTATGGCCACGGACGAATCGGTCTCAAAGGCATAGAGATCGAACGCCCACATCCCTCCTGCAGTCCTCGTTGCACATGTGTCGAGGGGGGAAATGAGGACGTCCGCCGAGAACGCGCAACATCGGGGAAGGCAAACGTCTATGAAGTCTTGCCCAGCCGGTCGGAGAATGGGAATCCAAAGGACGGCCGCCAAGTTTCGCTTCATTGCGCAAACCCGCCATCAATGTTGTTATGCACTCCGCGCTATTTCGTGCCGGTCTCGACTTGAATTCTTTGGTCTTGTACGTCCGAAGCGTGTGTGTGAGGGGGTGGACGACGCACAAACGGAGCTACCCGTCGATGACCGTTTGGCGGCTTTACGGGAGCACGACCATAGGAGGAGAATAGCGCATGCAGATACTTCTTTTTGCTCTGTTGTTGTGTTCGGCCTCCGGAGTAAGAGGCGATTTTGCCGTTCTATGGAGTTGTCGCCTCAGCGTTCGCTCCTAAAATTGTTTCTGCATCTGATATCTTATATCGTGAAGCCTCCTTTCGCCTCTCCGTAGGACAACTTTTCCATTAGCATGCGCCCACGCTAATATTATCCTACACCCGTGAAGCAAGGTTACGTAGGTAAATACGTTGCAGAACTGAATCGCCTTTTGGCGCGAAAAGAACAGACCACACCCAACGTTTCCGAATACTCGACTACAGTAGGTTTCACTCATTTGCACTGCGGCAAAGTAGCACTGCGTTGCGACATATTGACTGCGGTAGAAGAGACGGCGCTGAACGCACCACAATTGAAGCTGTCGTCGCCGGCGCAGAGGAAGTTGCAATCTCCAGGTCCGTATTGCACGTGCTTTTCTTCGTCCCCCAGACTCCCACAATAGCATTCGTTTCCATATTGCAGGCCCATGTAGGTGTAGCCATTTTGGCCGCAATACCCGAAGCAAAGCTGCGGGAAACAATGGTTCAGGGACGAAAAAAACTCTTGTTTGAGTCGGTTTGACATACATGTTAGAATATTCATATCCTCATTTCCCGTTAGGCACCGGAAGTTAGTTTTCGGAGATAGATGCCGTCTGTCGGCTAGGATACTGCCGAGCTCGGAAGAATGCGTCCAGTTTGTACCGCAACTCCCGAAATAATGACGTATTGTCGTACGTCGCGCAGCTGAAAACTCGGTGCATCAGTGCACAACGCGGATTCACGACTACGAAAATCGTAGATACATGGAGAGGGGTAGGAAAAGGGAAGCAGGAGTAGACAGCGGATCACATTCAAGCAACTGTTACAACGTTGCTGCGATCGATCTTGGAATGGAGATGGAGATGAAGCGTGCCCGCAGATACTGATCATCCGTAAAGGCATATCACGTAGGCTACGCGTTGCCCCTGGTACTTTCGGAGCGTGGATAGTGCCTACCACATGATCGTGTTGCGAAAGCCAACCTGCAGATCAACGGTCGGTGGAGTTGGCATCATGAGAATTGCACGTGCAGTCGAGGAAAACAAAACAAACTGTATTTTTCCGCACCTCTGGTGTCATCTTATCCGACCGGAAGAAGTCATCCAGGGCCCGGTTTCTCTGGTCGACATAGCAGCCTTCGAAAGTGTACGACGTGTACGTGGACTGGAGTTGACGCTGTCGTCGACGGAAGGGAAACGGGTGGACATGAACGGATGGTGATGATGACGTTGAGCACGGTGAGAGAGGGCGTATGTATGCAGTGTGTATGTACATAGACTAGTAGCAGGTAAGTTTACGGCGATTTTTGGGGGAGAAATGTTGGTTCACGCTGAGTCGAAAGCTCATTGTAAGGTCGGAGCAACGTACATGGGCTGTTTTTTGGTTGTGGTAGCGCACAGAACCAATGGAACACAAAAGGTTTGCTCCGTGCAGGCGGCGGTTGAAGCAGTCCCTCCTTACCTCGATATCAACGGCTTGCTCCGCACGCGAAGCGACTTGGCCGGGTACCCCCAGGACGGCAAGAACCGGCGAGGCAGCCACCGCAAGCGGGAGGTACGCCTGAACAAAAACCAAAGTTGTTCAAGCACTTCTAGTTGGCTAGCGAGACGAAAAGCTGACAATTGTTGGTCAGTTACATGGTGTCAGCATCCATATATCGGCACCGTGTGTTTGCAGATGCGTACGTACGTGGATCAATGCAAACCACTGGTACAAAAGAAAAACGACGGTTTATCGAAGCTTCTTACACAATTTCCATAGTCTAATCACTCGAATCCGTATCTATCCACAGGTGACAGTCAAAGGATAAATTACGTAGTAATGAAACTATGTAGTGCAGCTGTTCTTATCCCGGCCGGAACTCGTATCACAACTGTAATTGCTCCCTGATACAACGTACTGTGTGTATTTATGTACATATGCACCACAGTCTATGGTGTGACCTGAGTGGGGGTGAGAAAATTGCGGCGTGCGCCAAGAGGGAGAGTTGAAATTGGATGAGGTGGGGAGAGATACAGTAATATCTACATAGTTTAAACGGGTTTGGAGCCCTTTTTATCTTCCCGAATGGACCACAGGGAAGACGATGAGTGTACGGTGTAGTCTAAGTCATCAGTGTATAGATACTCGAAATATGTCCAGTGTACCCAGCCGGTTTTCCTCTACTCACTGGAAAGACTCCAACACATCCCGTTCGACTGTGGGTATTATATATCTCGAACGGGTAGTCTTTCTGCGTCGGTACTTACCTGCTCTGTTAGGTACATAAGCAGCACATGGACTGTTAAGAAGAGCGTTATGGAGTCAGTCATGGTTACGACCTGCAGAAAACAGCCAAAGGGACACACAGATTTCAGGTGAGTATATACACACAACGGCGTTGACTCTATCCTTACTTTCTCCAACCCTGTGACCGTGCGTCTCTCTCTCTCTCTCTCTCTCTCTCTCTCTCTCTCTCTCTCTCTCTCTCTCTCTCTCTCTCTCCCTCTCTCTCCCCCTGCACAATGTCTCCCAACCCCCACAGGCACGCGAGCGTGCTATTGCTGCTGCTGTTGCTGCAGGGCGTACGAGGAAGGGCCACTCACCACCATCCCGGCAGATTTCCCCGGCCCACCCAGGAGCTAGCTAGGTTCTGCGACGTCCACGCCCAGCAATGCAAGCAATCTCAGACGCGGTTGATGAGGGGGATTGGGCGGCCAGGAATGGGTGGAGAGCTCAGGAGAGCTCGCGTCGTCCTCGTTTGATTCGTTCGATCTTTCCCTTAGATCCGGATTGTTGTGTGACTATCATAGCGCCACGGTCGATCTCGGAACATTGCTAGAGTTGCAACCCATTTATCTTTCTGCCTGTCATGCACGACGCCCTCTGCTGAGTGGTCTACCTGGGTGCGGGTAGAGTTGCGATCGCACATCATGCGTACAAAGCTTATTGTGTGTACCACTAAAGCGGAACGGGTATAACGCGAAACTGCTGCTATTAGCGGGTCCACATATGCATACAGCACAGGAAAATAGAAGCGACATGTGAGATTTAGTGTACTATATGTACCGATTGAGAACAAAAAAACGCGGCGGGCTTGAGCGGGTGGGGAGAAACTGCTTGTAAATAGTAAGAACGATAGACATCACGGACGAGCTACCCCGTCGCACAGCCCAAACTGCATAGACACGAATGCCTATAAAGACTATATGTGCTTCGCTCTCATTCTCACGAACTGCTTCAAAGTACATATTGGCGTGTCATCCGCGAAGTCACTCAACAGCCAGTAGATCTACAATAGTAGTTCTTCCTTTTGTTTCTCGATTTTGTTGTTGTGCCCGACTGTTGCTGCGGCGCGGAGCTTGCCTGAGTCATTACCGCGAGAAATAATCAGCAGCCCATGTCCTTCGTCGACCATGAAGTTGATTTTGATTTGAATACATCCCGAGTTAGTTAATCGTTTACTTAAAAAATATATATATGCTGTTCACTTGGGAGAGGGAATCGAACTCCAACCTGCTACATAGAGCAGTGTCTCAGGCCTTAGGAAGATTAAGATTTCGAAGGAACAAGCACTATCGTCGGAGGGTGAAGCACTTCTACGACGAAGAAAAGTGCAAGTATGCTATGTAGGAAGTGAAACTTTTAGCGGGATGAAGCGTGTGTTCGTGGACTTCATTCAGCCTTGTTGTCATGGTTGCGAGGAAGCAACAAGAAAACGAAGCGAACTCGCGCAACAGCGTGAAAGTAGCTACATGTAGACTTTATGTAGACCATTGGTTGCACAGCCCGTCAGGCACTACCGGCCAATGAATCACACCGACCGGGGGCCGAAGACCGAGGGCAACCCCCCCCCACCCATTTCCCACAATTTTTAATAAGGTGTGCCAGACGATGTGACACGTCATTACCAACAAGGCAATGACGATTGCCAATCCTCTTGGGTCTCAACTCTCCGTCTAATGCTCTATACTTGTAGCTGTAGAAAGAAAAACATGAGCACCGACGAACTAAACCACCACCCTGTTTGCATCGACGGACGGATATGTCATTTAAGAGTTGTTTGTGCCTCAGCACGCGCCCGCGGAGGCTACCGCGCCCTCCCGCGGTAGTCAGAGTTGAATGCGGTGACTAGGTTAACCCAGGATCGATGATGAATAAAACCTTTCATTGATGAACACTTACCGTGCAGCACACACGAAACACAAAGAGGAAGAAAACGACAACTACATGAACAGAGGCAGAACACAAGTACGTTCTCTCTCTCTCTCTCTCTCTCTCTCTCTCTCTCTCTCTCTCTCTCTCTCTCTCTCTCGATCGGCCCCGCACTTGGAACCCCAACAGCATGCCCCCTACAAACATTGCCCAGATCGGATCTTGTATCCAAGCACTCCAAACAAGAGTGCACAAAGGAGAACACACACCCAAGAACACACACAACAAAACACAAAATAAATCGAGGAAAAACCAAGACAAAAAGACGCAAGCATTCGGTGAAAAATTGCGTCATGAACAGGAAACACGCAGAGTGCAAGAAAGCAGGCATACCCGGGAGTATCTCGACGGCAGACGCCTACAATGAGACAATGGGCCCATCAAAGAAAACGGGAAAAAAGTCATCTTGTGGCCAATCATTCCGCTACCTGTCAAGCGAGTACGACCAACAGAGAGTCATACCGATACTCCGCCAATTAGCCCACGCCAAACAGGCCTTGCCATCAATGGGTAGAGTTCTTCTGTCCAACTCCCCTCCTCCCTGTTTTGCAACCAACCCGAATTCAAACGCAAAGAAAATGAGCAGTTCGACCCAGCAAAAGATCGCTGCCGCTTTCCCAAAACCAACACGCCCCCCCACCAACTTGCCCCGCCAGAGCACCCCCGGTTGAGCGACCATAGGCTGTGTTGATGGCTGTGGAATCAGCACACAGTCAGCCTACCTCCGGCGTAATACTTCACAACCTCGACAACGTTGACGAAGACATTCCCTGGCCGCTGCGACCCTCAGACCGTGTGTCGATGACCACCTTGCCGACCACCTTCCGGGCGCCCATGTCCTCCAGCGCGCGTGGTGCTTGGTCTAGAGGGTACACGCGTGAAATGGTGGGTTTCACTTTTCCCAGGTTGACCAGCCGCACGATCTCCACCATCTGCTCAGCGCTGAAGGTCGGGGTGACGGAGGACGATATCGGGAAGTTTACTTGTTTGCGTCAGCTGGCCCAGGGTGGTTGATGAAATTTTCGTGCGTTGCTTGTACCATGGTAGGTCGTGCAAGACTTTTGTCAGTGAACACGCAACTCACATCGGTGCGCGGGAGGAAGGCACGAAGGTCCAACATTCTGTTGCATCTGAGCGGGCTGCAACGCTTGATGAGAGCCAGGGACCCCGCAGGCGAGAAGAAAGTCGGGGTTTCTCGTAGAGAAGCACGAACGCCCTTGCTGCGCCCGGACAATCCCAACGCACTTGAATGCCAACACAATACAACGCGGTTCAAGGGAACCGTTGACTTTATTTGGTACGCCTACCATCTTCCCAAAAACGTTAACCCTCGTGCAAATAGCCCTGTACAATAAACCTTAGCCCTTTCTTTCGATCCCCCATCATCGGCATCACGCCTCGCACCTCTTCTCTGGCTCTCGCTCTCTCCACGCCCCCCAGAACACCCCCATGACGCACGCCTCCTTCAGGAGAACCAGGTTCAGAGGCGGCGCCGGGATGGTTCCGGACGCGAACCCCACCACCAGGTATCGCCCTCCGACGGCCAGGCTTCTCACCGCCGTCTGCGAGCGCAAACGCGGCAGCGTCCGGTCACAGGGAACAAAAACGGAATGGGAAATAAGCAGCGAGGGCCACACGCGTACAAAAAACTTGAACAGCAGTAGCAGCATCAGCAGCAGGAAACTTCGTGCTTGGTCACCCAAGCTGTGTCGTCGGAACAGCCGCGTACAGCGCGTACTTTCCAGCTCAAGGTTCATAGGTCCACGGGGCAACTTCACACGCCCGGAGGGCCTCACCTCGCAGTCAGCCCCGCCCACGTTGTCCAGCACAACATCTACACCCCGTCCCCCCGTCAGCCGCTTCAAAGCCCCGCGCCAATTGCCACCTCGCCGGCCGCCACCGTTGCCGTCTCCCTGTCGGTAGTTGAGAAGGAGGTCGGCGCCCGCGTCCCTGCAGGCCTGCAGCTTCTCCCGGGTAGACGCTGCGGCGATTACGGTAGCCCCGGCCGCCTGCGGGTTGTATTGTGTTGATGGTTCTCCAGGTTGATTCAAGGCAAGACTATATGCGCGGGAAAACACTCCTCCTCAATCTGTGTTCCTTGCTCGCGATCCCGAGGGGCGACTCGAGACACCAAAACAACACTCGCGCGATAATGAAAAACTCGTGCATTCGCTCTCTTGGAGTCTTGCCTCGATATTTTCCAGACGTGACGGCGAATCTATTGATACAGAACTACCAAAAAGGATGACACCACTCAACATACGGGATTTTTCTTGCGGCCACCCCCTTTGTGTGCGACCACCACAGCGGTATCACGAAAGCAGTGATTGCTGCATGTCAGCTCCGTCACATCGAGCGGGGGCAGTCTCGCCGATATTTCGGGGCTCGACTGCGTGCCTTGGCCTGTCAAAGTGAGAGGCGATGGCAAAAACCGTGAATCATGGCTCGAGTACCGATGTGCCAGCGACAACGGCTGGGCGAGACCCGGCCAAAAACGCGACATCAGGCAAAAAAAAACGGGGTGGTGTATGATGTACGACACCTTTGCCAGCTGAACCGCGGCCAGGCCCACACCACCAGACGCACCCAGCACGAGGACAAGCTCCCCTCTACGGAGATTCGCGCGGATCTGTGAACAAAAAAAAATGGTATCCAGCGTTCAAGTGAGCGCGAAGGGAGGCATCAGTTGTGGACACCATGACCGCAAATATTTCAACACGTCCCTTCGGCTGGTGTGGTACTATTTCGGACGGGTAGGTTTCTCTGTGATGGTGTGTCTATCTTCGAAAAAAATAGGCAGTGTCGATGGGGGGATTTCGCAAGCATACTTGCTAACTCTATTGCGCCCCGCGACAACCTTGGGACCGCCGTCTATACCCGCAAGCGTGAAATTTACGCAACCTCTGCCTGCAAACTCCAATGCTCCCCGCGGCACTAGTCTATGCACCCAAGCATGAAATTTCGACGAAATACAACCCCTACCTGCTAACTCTAGTGCTCGTGCTCCCCCCGACACTAGTCTATACAACCAAGCATGAACTTACGTCGAAATATGCGACCTAACTCTGATGCAGCCTGTTTCTCTCTCACCCTCAGCGCGTAGTCTGCGGTGCCGTAGGCGACGAAGAGGCAGGAGGCTGTGAAGAAGTCCATGCCCGGCGGCAGAGGAGCGACGCTGCCCTCTCGGACGACGACGTCGGTCGAGAAGCCGCCAAAGCCGACGAAGCTTACCACGCGATCTCCGGGCTTGAACCTAGCTGCGCAAGGACAGGCGCACGAGGGTGGTGCTCGCATGTCAGGAGGGAGAGAAGGAATGCAGGGTCCGGGATAGGAACAACCGATTGCGCCATGCACCACGGCCTATACACCGTGTGAACGGCCAGGGTGGAAGACTTGCCGTGTGCGGTGCGTGAACGTGTTCGAATGCGGCAAGGAATGACCGACAGCAATCAAAACAGCAATGAGCGTTTGGCAAAACGCGGACCGCCTTCGCGACAAGAAACATTTTATGAGGGAATAGAACGGGGAGTGCACACCCTATGCCGAAAACTATAGAACAGCCCAACATCCCCGATTGCATGATCTAGAACATGTTTACTTAACAGAGAAACCCTACGAAGGCTACTACTGCGGATAAAAAGCTCACCTACCTGAGCCCTCTCCGACCGCGGTGACGACGCCCGCGATCTCTCCTCCCGGCGCGAAAGGAAGCTCGGGCTTGGTCTGGTACTTGCCCTGCGCATAGGTAACACAGGCGCACAACAGCATTGAGAGACGGGCGTTACAACACAAAAATCCATCACTCACAAACGGTATACTGTAGGTTTAATCCGACAAAAGCATTGTGGGGAACTCTTCAGCGGAGACAAAAGATTGAAGGGCACCCCACAATGGAAAACCGTACACTCCCAAGATCCAGGGGAAGTCGCCAAGCAAAATGCACAGTACAAAGAACACCATATGGATAGCGTCACGCAAGGCCTTGCCCGAACCTAAGAAGCCGCTAATGCAAGGAGTGCAGGACAGTGCCAAGAGGGCTCATTCAAGCCCGGCCGACCTCCCAGGATCGCTGCTGTACCGTTATGTTGAGGAGCATGTTTGGCGCTGTCCCTTCTCTCGCACACACCTGGATAACCAGCAGATCCGGAAAGTTCACAGCACACGCGGACACCGCGATGGCCACTTCATCCTTCCCTGGCTGCGGCAAGGGTGGGCCATCCTCGATCGACAGAGATGAAGGAGGTCCCCACTGTTTGCAGACGCACCAGCGCATGATGATGGTGTAGTGTGTGATGGTGCGGCGCAATTAAACGGTGTGCTTCTTCAGTACAATAGAGGAGGGAGGGGACAGGAAGAAGGGAGAATGTGGGAAATACACACACACCAGCACACTACTATCTTCAGCTCGAACACAGAAAGCGCTTCGGGCTTGAATGCACCCGTGCTACGCTGCTGCTGCAGCTGTTTGTGTTGTCGGTGTTGTCATGTTGCTCTTGTCGATCCACGCAAGGGGGCTGACAGAAGAAAAAAACGGGTACCTGTGAGCAGTGATTCCGCGGGGACATACGTGTCACCTGTCATAGCATGGGCATGCCCGCACCACTCTGCACTGCGCAGCCAGGTCCACACGGCTCCACACAGTCCCCTCGCCCGAGAAAACAAGGGGAATGGAGGTGGACGGCGAAGTTGCCAGTGGTGGTGGCGGCGCGGTCGCGCCGGCATCCAAAGCGGAGCAATTTGCCCTGCTGAAAGGGGCGGTGAAGGATTGTCCCGGCGACTACACGGCGCACTTGTTCCTCGTCAAGCACCTGCGGGGGGAGAGGCCTGGCAGCCTCGAGTTGCTCAAGGCCCGGCAAGAGTGAGTTTACATGCGTTTCTGTTTCTACCTACGGGGCGTTGCTCCTTCGACAATAGCGCGCGTGACGGCATGTTTATTCTGGATAAAGTTGACAGTCCCGTCCGTCGATCTAGGCATCGACCACTCAACCGCCCATTACACACCAGAGGAAGGCCAAAGTTAAGTTAAGCCCTCTCACACATCGTTGATCCTAGGAGAAATGGGGCAACGACTACCCTTACTTGCCATGCTGCTGCTTTATGAAGGCCGCTGCTGGAGTTTGCTCGGCACATCAAGAATATTCTGTCTTACATTCGCAGCTGGCTCTTTCTAGTGCTGTACGCGCAACGACTACCGAAGGTTGCACACGATTCCACACACCCTGGAACGATTTTCAAAGCTTCGTTGCTCCACGACGAAGAGAGTGCTGAAATCAAACGATACGTTGTCGGAAAGCTCTGGACGAGACGGTTTCAACGCCGCCATTTTCGGCACCGTCATTGTTTTTTCCTGTCAAGTAATCGAGCTCTGAAATTCGGGCCAGGGGGTGTGATATCTTACGCAACCTACGGTACTGCTGTTGCTGCTCCTGGTTGCCGTACCTGTTGGGTGGGTCGGTCATGGTGCGAAAGAAAGGAAAAAACTAGCGCTGTGATATGCCTGGCTTCTGTCTGGTTTTGCGGTGCTCGAGGTTCATTTTTATTATTTTCCCCACACATGATCGCAATCCCACGCGCAAACCCAACAACATATTTTGCCGTAACACCAAGGCAATACCACGGACAACATGGGAGATCGAGACCAAGCAGACCAAATCAAGATCAAATACAACAGTGGTACCGAGCTCTTACATAACACCTTATTTTGCGCAACCCTGAGGTGATGTTTTTTTTTTCTTTTTTACTTGTATTATTGCTTCCTTCGCGGTTATCAGCAGCTACTGCTGTTGTTGTACAGTGATCATACCCATGAAGCAAGCAGCCCCTTTTTGGTTCTTCTCTTCGTCGTGGAGTATCCGAGCTCTAACATTCGGTCCCAGGGGGCGTGGTACTCAACCCACGGTCTACGCGTGTGCACCCGATTGTCCGTGCGGACGTTCCCCCGCGGCTGCACGCTCAACACATGTCTGACGGACAACACGGTCAACATGGATGAAAAAAATGAAGCATCTCACAAGTGTTGGAGTTGTCCATGCATACGATCAGCAACAAGCAACTGCCCCCCTGCCCCGTTCCGGCTCAACTGTACGTGTTCAGTTTCTCCGAGAGGTTTCCGCTTGGCCCCGAGCTGTGGCAGGAGTGGATAGACGATCGCCGGGCGGCTGGGGGGGAGGATGGCGCGGAAGACATCCTCGCTCTCTATCGCCGCGCGTTCGCGGATTACCAGTGCGCCAAGCTCTGGCCCGGGTACCTCGAGACGCTGGAGGCCTCGCTAGATGTAAGTTGACAGCAGTGATGCCTCCTTTATTTTGTCTGTCTGGTATTTTTTGGGTGTTGGGGGTTGCGGAATGCCGTGTCGAGGGACGGTACACACTCTTTTCGTGCAGCACTACCGCACCGCGTATCGTGCCTACAGTATGCGTGCAATTACGATTGTGGCGAACACACAAAGGACAGATCCGCGATTTTGGACAACACGTTAAGGACTTCTGTGGACAGCCTGAATTGCTTTACTCGGACAACGCGGCCCTGTTTCTCAGAGCCTACCGTTAGGGAGTATCTCTCTCGTCTTTGGCAGGAGCTTGCGTTACTCTACTTGGCGCATTAGGCTGTCATCAGGTACGGGCGCGTCCAACGTACGTTAGCTCCAGCACGGTCACGATCCTATTCCTCCAGAGCGTCAACTAACCCCCCCTTGCCTTCGAGTGTCGGCCATCCTTGGGACCCTTCGTGTCCGACAAAGTGTCGCACATCTCCCACTAGCCTCCCATGTTTTTGGCCGTGATGACGGACGTCTCACCGTGGGAATCAAGCTACATCACGCGGAAGAGAACATCTACGGCACCGCCAGACACGAAGCCCCAACCCGGCTGAATACGACTTGCCGCGGGTAGCTGGGCTGCCATGACGCGTTGTTTTCGATTTTTCATGTTCCCGTACGCTACTGCAGCTGCCGCTACTACTGCTACGGCTGCGGCTATAATTCACTGGCACCATCACTGCCACGACGTCCACACACCAGCGACAGAGACACGTCATTATTTGATCTTCAGGGCCCTTCCTCGTCCTCCCCTTTTGTCGTCAGTCTTGCGATACAACCAACACCCCCCTCAACCACCACCACTGCGGAGCCTAGCCTTGCACACTGCGCACCAGTGCCTTGCGCGCATATTCGGGGTCCTGTCCTCTTGGCCCCCAAAAGACTGTACACAGCTGTGTAATTTTTTCCTTTTTGGTTCGTTCAGGTTCGCTGGGCTCTTCGAGCCAAAAACACGTTCGAGCTCGGGAAACGTCGCTGATGGCAGCTGATTCGCACGCTTTACCTTCATCTTGCATCACGCCTTGGTGCATGCTCTGAGTTAGGCCACGCCGGAGGCGCGCCTCGTGACTTGTTTATTTGTTCGTTTGCTGCTGGCGTTGAAAAAACGATAAACCCGCAGGAAGACGACGAGGGTGGGGTTTCCGCCATGCGGGAGGCGTTCGAAGAAGCGCTGACTCGCGTGGGCGTCCACCCTGTCCTGGGAGGCGCGGTGTGGCGGTCGTTGTTACGGTTCGAGATGGAAGAGCTCGAGGACGCCGAGGAGATGGGCGTGGGAGACGGGGAGATTGCCAAGGCGCGGGATAGGTGAACATGCTTCCGGTCTGTTTTTGTTTTACGCTTTGCTCTCTCTGTCTGCCTCTCTCGTTTCTCTCTCTTTGTCTGTCTGTCTGTCTGTCTCTCTCTCTCTCTCTGTTTGTGTCTCTGTCCCTCTCTCTTTGTGTCTCTGTCTCTGTGTCGCATGTCTCTCTTTCTCTGTCTCGCTGTCTGTCTGTCTCTCTCTCTCTCTCTCTCTCTCTCTCTCTCTCTCTCTCTCTCTCTCTCTCTCTCTCTCTCTCTCTCTCTCTCTCTCTCTCTCTCTCTCTCTCTCTCTCTCTCTCTCTCTCTCTCTCTCTCCCTCTCTCTCTTTCGATTTCGGGTCTGGTTTGTGGATCTTTGCCCTGGAGCGTTTCTGCACTGTGCGTGGTTCGCGTGTGTGTTTCCGACCTGCATCCTGTGTCCTCTGGCCCTTCTGTATACGGTGCGATTCGTGGGTATGCGTGGCTGAGCCCTGTGTACCAGCGCCGTTCTGCGTGTGCCCGCTTTTCCTCTCTGCCTGTCTCTATCTCTCTTGTTTTTCGTCTGCACCTCTCTCTCTCTCTCTTCCCGCCCCCTCAAGCACACACTGCTTGCATATTATTTCCCTCTCTCTCCCGCACACACGTTGTCCGCATGTTCTTTTCCCGCTATTATAACGACCTCTCTTTCATTTTCCACCAACCGGCCGGCGCTGATGGTGCATATTTAAGAAGCACACACTCACACACACTCACTCACACGCAAGCGATATGTCACTTCCTTCTGCAGAGTGAAGCGGGTGTACAGGAGGCAGCTCTCGGTCCCGCTGATCGGCAACGACGAGAGTCGTCTCCTCGAGGACATGAAGGAGGCCTTTTCAGGGGACGACGCGGGGCTCAAAGAGGTCGCCCAAGCGCATGCCAAGGCCAGCAAGATGGTACTGATGCTTTCTTGCTTCGGTGTGCGTTGAGATGGGCGGCAAAGGATATGTCGCAAGGTTCTTGAAATGTGTCGCTGTTGACATTGTAGTCTTATAAACGTGGCCACTACTGAGAAAGGGGTGGGTATACCCAATTTTTTCCTACTTCTATTTCCCAAAGGTTTTGTGCCGATGTGGGTCGTGCTCGTCGGGTTGTCCTCTTTCTTGCCTTTCTCTCCCACCACCGGGTGTTGTCCTCTCTGCGGGGCACGTGCGCTCGGGGTTTTTTGTTGGCATCAGTTGGGTACTTGCCAGTCAAGGGCTCGTATTATTGATTTGTGTAAGTTGTGTTTTTTTTATTGTCTTCACATTAGTAAACCGTTATGGAATTTTGGGATTTTTTTCTCTGTCTTCACCCCTGGCGGACCAGGTCCATTGGTTTATTGAAAAACCCAACGGCATATTGCCTCCCCTGCTGCCGCTGCCACCTCTGTGACGCCCAGCTGGCAGCACGGATGGAGCATGAGCAGGCAGTCAAGAGGTGTCAGGAGAAGGACCCCGGGGGACCGGGGGAGGCAAACGCCTGGGAGGTGAGGGCAACTCCCCGTTACCGCCATCTCCGCGGGTGCTTCATAGCTGTCACGACGGGGTTGTGTCTGTGAAGTTACGTCTGGCTCTAGTAGGCGTTCGGCGTCTTCGTTTTTTGTTGTCTTGTCAATCCTGCTCGTTCTCTTGTTCCTGCATTTTCAGGTACAGTGTGACTTGACCGTGGGACGTTCCACGGTTAGTACTTAGTTTCTTACCGGACTCTGAGAGACTTCCTCTACGGAAGGTTGAAGCCATGATTTGTGTGTCCGGGTGTGCGTGAGCTGCGAGCGTCTTACCAGTAGTTTTACGGATCTGTCGCACCTGCCTTTTTCTGTTGAATGAACCAACTGAAACCCATCACATACGAAAGAAGGGAACAGACGCATGCTCGTTTCAAACATACGTGTTCTCCCGCTTCCAACTACCGCTAACGACAGTTGTGAAATTGGTTTCATGGCATATTCCCCACGCAATCATGCTCCTGCAGCTCATTCGGAGCTTGCGCTTGTCGCCTCTGCTTGGTGGATAATGGAGAGCGGACCTTGACGGAACGGCAGCTCAAAGTCAACCGGTTGGCGCCCTGTCGTCATCCAGAAATCTCCCGTAGGCACCCACGAAAGCATGCCCCTCACCCACCTCTTCAGAAACCCACACGGCGGTCAGATCAGTAATCGACACCTGATTTTTTTGTTTCAAGTGTCCTGCACACACTGCTCGCCGCGGTCAAACCACGGGCCGAAAATCAGCCAATCAGAACCGACCACGTCTTTCCGACGGCGTCGACGTCAGGCCTACGCCGCCATGGAAGCTGCGGACGGGCACCCTTCGAGGGCCGCCCTGGCGCTGGAGCGCGCGGAGTCTGAGGGGTGTTGCCTCCATGAGCGGATCTGGGTCACCCACTCGGACCTGCTGCTGGCTCAGATGGGTGCCAAGGACGAGGTGTGGTGCACGGATGTGTCTGTACTTGATAGTTTTCGCCCTCTTCTTCGCTCTTTTAGGGGCCGGCCCCACCCCCATGAGAACCGGAAGTCCATGTGAACGACCCCCGCCATTGAAGCGGGCCGGCGAGACCGCTCCGATCGAAGGCATCGCCGACGGGCCGAAGCCCAAACCGCGGCTTTGTTCGTGTTGTTTGTTTTGGTCCTTGTGTTGTGTGGGGGCCATGGTGGCGGTGTTTGCGGTTTTGTCGTCCCCCGTGTTGCATGCCTTACCCCGGGAGCTTGGCAGGCTCAGGTCCGTAGCCTACTTTGACCGTCACCTGCGCCACGCCGGTTCACATCACGACGTCGTCGTTTTTGTTTTTTTTTGTGAAAAGGCACGCAAAAACATGAGCGCGCCTCCTCTCGACCTTCCTTCAACGCCGGTTCAGCTCGTCGTCGCCTTTCTGTACGAAGGCATGCAAAACATGAGTACGCCCCCCCCCCTCGGCCTTCGTCGGCTTTCCCCATCAACACGAAACTAACGCGCTCCCCACACACAGGAGGAAAAGTTGACTGCGAGGGCGGTGAGGAACCTGCCCTGGTCGGCCGAGCTCTGGTGCCGACGCCTCCGTTCTCTGGAACGTTCTTCGGAAGAAGCGGGAGGTCCTTCGGGCGAGGGCACGGCGGGGGCAGAGGCGGCGATGCGGAGGGTTTGGAAAGAGGCTCTGGGGAGCTCTCTCCCATCTCCCGATGAATACGTCAAGGTGCGATGTAATTTGGGTAGTGATGTGGTACAGCAGCCCTTCGGGCAGTCTAAATAGAGACTAAACACGTTGGATACAAGATAAATTTCTGGGGAGCCCGGTCAACGGTTGCGAATTTTCCTGAAGTACCGGCGCGTTCGGGTGGCCGCTCTTTTGATTTTGTGACGGCGAGAGTACGGCGACAGGCCTTGTGAAGAGCGGCTTGTTCTTGCATCGAAGAGAAAGCCTTGGGATTGGTGTCCAGCAAGAACACCGCCGCGGAGTCTGCATTTTTGGCGCTCGCGTTTGATTTTCGGTCGCGGTGCCAGCCTCTCCTTTTGATCGCTTCTGGTATGTGTATGTCTCTGATATGTATGTACAGTTTCGGCGCTGTAGGTTCGTACGATAGACAGGCCCCAAACGACGAGCGCAGTACCGTGTTCTGGCTACCATCCGCATCATCTCTGCTCTCATCGCCACCCACCCGCCCAGATTCTTCTGGCCTACTGCGCCAGCTTCAGGCGGCGGCTTCTGCTCGCCGTAGACGCGGTGGTCAAGGCCAAGCCCTTACCGGGCACGGTCGAGGCGTCGACATCCGACGGGGCGCGGCGGAGCAGAGCGGGCATCGCGCAGGCCTTGGAGGCGATGCGGGGGGCTTTCGACGAGGCGGAAGCGTTCGTGGACAAGGTGTGTGTATGTGCATGCGTGGGTCGGTCTGTCTGCCGGTCGGTTTTTTCCTTGATTCGGAGGGCGTGGGGGGGGTGTACTCATCGCCGTGCATGTCGAAGTCGGTGGACTATTGACCTCGCATTCCTACAAAGCCGGGACGGAGCACGCCGGGTTCTCACCGGACCAGGCTCTCATATCACCAAGCGCGAAGCGCCGTGAGGTACTCGGCGAGTCGTATGAAGGCGTGTGCTAGTCCTCGTTTTTCGTGGGTAACGGAACAAGGCAACACGGGAGTGGAGACGCTTTTCAGGAGCCTTTTTTGGGTGAAATCTGCCGCTTTTTCGGCGGCACATGGACACCCCCATTTCCCTTCGTAGTGTTGCTCTAAGGGTGTGTGTGATTCCTTTCTGCCGATGCCACGCCGTAAACTTGTCGTAGCAGCACCGCCGGCGGGGCAAGAATTTTTTTCCGTCTTTATTTGGTGCTGGATATTTCTCCGTCATTCTCTCCTGTCTCTAACAATAGTTCTATTCTCCCGCCTCCCCCCACTTTGCCTTCCTTCCCGCCCCTCTACGTTTCTGGCATCCACTCCAACGACCCCCCTAACTGCCTTCATCCCCACCGGATGGTGATGCCCCTGTCAAATGGACAACCCAGACCAAGATAACAGTTTGTCTCTCTCTCTTTGTTTTCTTGGCAGAACTACCCGGGGTGGGACGAGGGCTGGCTCTGCGTTGTGCGGCGGCGCATCCAGATCGAGGACGAGCTTGTGGAAGACATCGCCGACCTGGATCTGGACGGCGTCGCCGCGGAATCTCAGGTGTGTTTTGTCTGTTGCCTGACTCCCCCAGGAGATACGCGGGCGGACTCATACGTTTTGCATGCCTTAGTTGTTAGACCATTGAGCACACATGCTCTATCTAGGGGACGTCGCATTGTTCCCGCGTGACCGATCAAGGCGGCTACAAATTGGTCTCCCTAACCTATGTATCCTGTCGGTATCACTTTTCAGCCCACTTCTTGTACCCCAGTACAGCAATCGTCTTGTCTTGGGGGGTGTGTGTATTTTGCGGCTAGAGAAGGGGGTTCGAGGGGCACTGGTGACGGTGCACCTGCGTCATTTGCATCCATACCGTGGAAGTTCGGTTCCCATTAGGGCATGTATACTTACGAGTCTCCTTCTTTCGTCTGCTCGGCCTTTCCAGAATGCAATGACTTTTCCCCAATGTCAACTGAAAGAATCGGCCCAATCACGCTCGTTAGCAGCATGAGCCCAATTTTGGCTGGACTTGCTTGCCGCGGGGGCTACAAAATATACGCAGACGGTCATCAGTAGCCTTCACAGGGTTTTTGTATTCGGGAAATATGTTGGATAAAGCATACAATCGGGGAAGTTGGGTTCGGGTTAGGGAATAGGGCCTGCGTACTCCCTCCCTGTTCCAGTTCGTTTTTATACTGAGTTTCCCGCGAGGGCGGTCCCCGGTCATACCCCATCCACGGATCCCCCCCCCCCGTAAGTGTGTCAGCTCACCAGCAAAGAAACCAATAACCAGGAGTGAACAAACCAACATGTTCATGTTTTATCATTTGTTTCAATCAGCGCTCACTTTCCCAGCATTTATCTAAACCAATAACAAAATCAATGCACAAAACATACAAACGAAAGCAAATATTTTATTTGACCCGTTTCGCCAACCGATCGCGACTTGCACAACCTCCTCAGGCGCGGCGACAATGGGATCGAGTCCTCCGCCACTCGGGCAAGCGCCTCGTCTCGTGGGAGGAGGCTATCAAGTGGGAGCGCCGCAGCACGGGGGACCTCGCCGCCTGCCGACGGCTGTACGCGCGAAGCCTGAACGAGGTCCAAGACTACCCCGAGGTGACAATGCCCCCCCCCCCCCCCCCCCCCTAGCAGGATGCAGCGCACCCTCATGCAACTCGCCAATTTACTCACGGCGCTTCGCGCTTGGTCATGTGAGAGCCTGGTCCGATGAGAACCCGGCGTGCTTCGTCCCGGCTTTGCAGGGATGCGAGGTCAATGGCCTAGCGACCACGGCATGCACGACTATGAGTATGAGTACACCCCCGCCCCCTGTAGCCTTGGCAGGGTTGTTCGTTGTCGTAAACATGTTGAATAAAGCATGTAATCGGGGGAGTTGGGTTTGGGATAGGGTCTGCGTGCCCCCTTCCCTTTGCTTTTTCCTCGTAGGCTGAACTCCACGCGAAGGCGGTCCAAGATCAAAGTCCCTTGCGGTACTTGGAAGTATTGTTGTGCCTGCCTAACTTTGTGGTGCCTCTTGGTTAGCCGCGATACCATGTCCTATCTGGCTTGGCACAGCAAACAATAGGATGATGAAAACCTTCTCCTTCATCCTTGTAAAACGTAGCCTGGGCCGGCGAACACCCGGCATATCGCTCCGTCCCGGCGTTGCAGGGATGCGAGGTCAATGATGTAACCACAATGGCATGCGTTTCCATGAGTACCCCCCCTCCCCCCCCCCCCTGGTGCGTCGGGGTGGTGGAGGGTAGTGGGCAGGTCAGACGAGCGTACGGGGTTGTGTACATATGAGGCATAGAGACGCCGCACGTTTGTTTTTTTCACTTGGTTTTCTCGCCTCTATCAGCGGGCTGTAGTGCAAGGAAGAGGCTTTTCACCCCCGCACCCGACGGGGGTTCGGGTAGTTCGCCGTGTGTCGGGCTTACGTTTGACCCCCGCTCTCCTCTCGCAACATGGATGCTGCTATCTTTGGAATTTTCTCTGTTCCCCGTTGTGTGTGTGCTGTCTCTGGTGACACTGCTTCGTCCCACGTCGTTGTTCGCCCTGCCCTGTTTTCGATGCTCGTACCGCGTCGGGGGTTTCCATCGAAGGCGGCATGCACGGCGTACCTCAACTTCGAAGAGGAGATCGGTTCCCTCGAAGACTGGTGAGCTAGTGTGTCCGCGCCTCTGCCGCTGTTGTTGTTGTTGTTGTTGTTGTTGTTGTTGTTGTCTTTGTTACTACTTTTTGTTGCGGTAGCTCACACTCTTCTCTCCTCATTCATCGCTATCGCTGCCGTTACCGTTGCGGGTTTGACGGACGACATCGCCCTTCCGAAATGGGCGTCAAAGCCAGCAAGAGACCGACCCCCCTCCCCCCCCGTCCTTTTTATTCCTCGGTTCAGGGATGCCGCCAACAAGGGGGTATTCAACAGCAGAGCCTCCAGAGGCCTGCTCTCGAGGGATCTCCCGCTTGCCTCTCGCTCCTGGGCAGGTGGCGTCGCGGCGCGCCCGCTGCACCAGGTGCGCAGACAGCCCCGGTTGTGCGTCCTGTTGCTGGTACTCCTCTGCTCTGAGACTTTGTGCTCCGTGGACTTCTTCTGTGTCTTTGGAGTTTTTTTTTTTTTTGCGTTTTTCGATGTTGGGGTTCTCGAGCAGTGTAGCGTTCATTCCACTATATAGTCTTGTTTTTTTTTTTTCCATAACTGTGTTGTGTTTTTTGGTGTTGTGCGTGCTCGTACATTTTTCGTCAGAGAACCCCACAATTCTGGGGGTGGGGTTGCGTTGTTGGAAGCCTTGCTATGATAGTGTCTCGGGTTCCATGTGTCTGACTCCCTTTACCGTTCTATTTTGCACGTTTTCCACGTAGCAACGTGTCTCCTCCTTCGTTGTTTTCCGCCATGGTCAGAACGATGCACCCGGTACCACCCCACCGTGCTCATTCACGTGCCCCCCCCGCCGGTCATGGAACGCACCCTCCTGACGCCACACAATGCAGCCCACACAACGCCAGCAACAGCAGAAGGCCAGGAAGCAGCAGCAACACAAGCAGGAAGACCGTGGAGGCAAGCGCAACAACAAGCGAAGCAACGATTCCGCCGCCTCCGCCTCACCTGCAGAAGGCGAGAGCCCCGGAGAGGACAGCGGCGAGAAGAAGAAGAAGCGGGCGCGCACCTCCCCCTCGACGGAAGCAGCAGCCGCGGCCGGCAGCCACCTGGCGACGACGACGGCTGCTGCTGACAAGGGGAAGGGTTTGCCAGGTAATCAGGCGGCGGCAGGTGGCGGGCCGGGGGGGGTTGAGGGCTTGACGGTGTTCGTCATGAATCTTCCCTTTTCGGCTGCGGATGCCGGGTTGCGGGGCGTGTTCCAGGGCTGTGGAGGTGAGAGAAGAATGGGAGTTAAGGGGATGTGTTTCCTGGGTTGTTTTTTCGGGGGGGGGGTTCTGGGTTACGCGAGTCGTGTAGACCTTTCGGGCTTTTTGTCTGCCCGGCTCGGGAGGGCGGCTGACGGCTGGCTATGCTCATTGCTTCACGATCCGTGGATATTTGGTTCACTTGTGTCCTTATTTTTTTCACGCGGTGTACAGGACGGACGTGTGCGTTTATGTCGACGTGGTTTCCGAGTTTACTGATATCTAGAGGCGATAATATGGACCATGTAGGTGCCAGAGCGAGTGATACGGCAACCCGGGGTTTTCCTGGCGTTTTCCGAGCAACCTTTAGGTGACCGTTAAAAGATCTATCACCAGACAAATACTTTTTTGTACACAGATTTTCTTTGCGCATCATATCTAATGGCGTCAACGAACGAGCGTTGCCAGCTATTGTTTTAGGGACCCCTCGGTCAATATGGAACGGGCGATCCATATTCAGCGCGGTTGAGTACTCCACTTTCACCTTCATTGCACACATTTTCTTTCCGCTAATGACGGACGGGGCACGTTCTTTTCGCGCCTACGCTCTGCCTACCGCCGTCTCGTCTGCTAACCCCCCCCCCCCCCCCCTCCTCCCCCCCTTTTTCGGTTCGCGGTGATGCGTGCTGACCTCATCTGTTTGTTTTTGACAGAAGTGGCGAGCACTCGGGTACTGACCGGCCCGAACGGGAGATCAAAGGGGCTCGGCTACGTCACCTTCGCCAACGAGGTATCCAGATCTACGTAGACCATTATGTGATATGTATATTGTTCATTTTTTTTTATTTATTTATGTATTTTTGTACTCGTTGTTGACACTATCTTGGGCATCATGTCTCGACCTGATTAGATGAGGTTCTGCGAGCGAGTCTCCCCCACCTGTTTTGATACGCACGCCCCTGTCGCGCCGCTTGGTTGCCTAACCTCCGCCGCATTCAACGACCGACCAACACGAGTTTTTTGCCCGCACTGCGCCGAAAAAACACCGTACCCTTGTACCACACCAGAGAACGGAGAAGGCAGACAGCAGGCTTTTCCTTTGTGGGCGCCGGTCGGGGTGATGCTGATGGGGAGTGAAATACAGACACCAAACCCGCACGGAGAGCAGACACTACGTTGTCGTTCAATCTCCTACACGGCCTGGACGGCATACTACTGTTTTGTTTTTTGTTTCCCGCTCCATCGCTTAAAGTATGGTAACTATTGAACGCTCTCGTTTTGTTGCTATTGAACGCGTCGCCTCTTTTACGCAACCCAACCCACGTGCGCTCTCCTTTTTTTCCGCCAGGAAGCACTCGCGAAGGCGCTGGCTCTCGACGGCACCGACATGGACGGCCGCACTCTTTCGGTGCAGAGGTCCCTGCCTCGGGGGTCCCGCTCGGTCAAGGGGGGCTCCGCAGCATCAGCTACAGCAGCAACGCCCCCCCCACCGCCGCCGGCAGCAGCAGCGGCAGGGGAAGGGGGGGCGAAGGAAGCGGAGGAATCCGACATCACCGCGAAGAAGAGCAAGAAAAAGAAGAAAAAGAAGGCCGAGGGGGAGGTGGTCGTTGCGGCGAGCGGGATCAAGTGGCCGGCGCACCCCACAACGGTGTTCGTGCGCGGGCTCGGGCTGTCGGCGACGTCGCAGGACCTGAGGGAGGCGTTCGTCGGGGTCGGGCCGATGGTCGAGGCTAGGGTAGTCGAGGACAAGAGGACCCGCGAGACGAAGGTGAGGAAAAAAAAACACAAGGGGGGGCATGGCGTGTGGACTCAAAGTTGCTTTCGTTTATACCTGTAGGCCAGGAGAAACGAATCGCTGGTGTTTTCCAGCCGTAAATTGGGGTGGCCTTGGGTGTCGCAAGGAAACCGGAGGTATCGTTTCTACCTAGGCGAGGAGGAACAAATCGCTGGCGTTGTCGAGTCGTAATGAAATATGATGGCCTTGGTTGCGGCAAGGATAAGGGGAGGTGTTGGTCGATGCTGCGGGTGGCGGAAGACTGGGTAGGGGAAATTGAGAGGCACAACGGTTAACACGATGAAGAAACTTGGGAGGTTTCTTTGGAGATTTTGGTGCTGTGGACGGCTCTTCTGCGGAAAGTAAATTTCACGAAAAGGCTCGCCGTTCATCAGTTCAGTAGCAACCGACTACTTCGCACACCTCGTTACGACTGTTGGAGTCCGATAGCCTTTTTTTTTTTAGCCTTGCCGCCCTGATATGCCTCAAGCACCCTCCCTCCTTCGTTTTGACTACCTGCTTTTCAGGGATACGGACTGGTTCAGTTCGAGGAAGGGGAGGCGGTTGAAAAGGCTCTTGCTCTCGACGGCACGAGCATGGTGAGAGCTGCTGTATATCTGTCAGTGCCGGACCGTGCTGTGGCTACTTGCTGTAGGTTCAGGTCTCGACGACCGGGCGAGGCCTACCGTTTCCACTTTTTTCTGCGGCTGGCAGTGATTTTGCCGTTGTTTGGCGGTCATATCGTCGTTGAACCTCATCCACTATGGCCTAACAACTTTTGCAAGCACGGCAAGCCTCACGTTTTCCCCTGGGCGCTTGTTCGCGGTTCACACGTTCGCGGGACGGCCCTAGTAAGCCATTCTCGCGTGAAATGTATTACACCGTCAAGGGATCATAATCTTTTCCGCGTAACCCCGGATCGGGACTTTCAGATTGGAGACGCCAGGCCGCAACCGTGAACCTGCGAGCGTAGATGAGATGGCAACTAATCGATTTTTTTCAAAAGGGTTTCCGCCCTTCGTGATGCATGTGCATACGTGCGTGTAATGGGTCAGCTTCTTGCGGGGCTTGTCTCGATGTTCGGAAAACCTGTGGTATGGAGTTTCCAAGGATATCGGATTTGTACCCATGCATCCGGCCGGCTGTCGTGGTGTTCCTGTGCGAGCAGGGGTAAGTGTTACTGTTTTCTCTTCACCGAGGTTTGTATGCTGGCCAATGTTGTGGCCGAACGCCACAAGCTAATTCCTGTTGGCCTTCGCTCACTCCGCATCTCTTGTCCCCCCTCCCACTAACTCCCCTCCGCTTCGTACGTCGTTGTCCCACCCCCCTTCGCCTTTTTATTTCGCGAAACAAACCGTACCCTTCATCCAACGATATGGTGCCGCCAACAGTGCGGCGGCACCGCACAGATAACTCGCTCCCGTCACCCGGCGGTCGTCGCCGCTCCGGCCCCCGCTCCCGCCTCCTCCGATGGTGTGGAAACCCCTAGCGGAGACGGAGACGCTGCCCCCGCCGACGGCAAGGGCAGGAGAGCGAATGATTGGGACTGCCCCAGCCCGGACTGCGACAACGTCTGCTTCTCTTTCCGGACAAAGTGCAACCGCTGCGGGATGGGCAAGGACGGCACGCCGCCCCCGAAGGAGTTGCAGCAGGGTGGCGGCGGCAATAGCGTGGTGGCGACGCAGCACAGGCCGAGGCTTCAGCTCGGGTGAGATTGAAAAACGCATGGACAGATGACTGGCGTGCGTTTCAGTGGACAACATGGAGCTCTCGAATTGTATGTTAGATGGGAATGAATGCGAATGAAGCCATTCGCAGCTGTCGTCCGTCTGCAAGGAAGCGAGCACAAGATGCCGAACACCCTTAGCAGGATGCAGAGCACCCTCCAGTTTTTTTTTTTTTTTTTAGTCTTCACTTCAAATTAGCGCTCACAGCACTAGTGGCGTTTACTCCAACCCGTGGTCACACAGAGGAGCCCCTCTCTACCCTCCCCTCCTGCGGTACTTTGCCTACGGTTTTTAATGCGAGAAGAGTTCAGCACTCTCTTCCCTCTGTGTACACACGAACTAGCGCTATCCACTAGGCCCGGAGCGGAAGCGAGAGAAAAACTCACTTTGCAAGAAAATCTCGCTTGCGCCGGGATTCGAACCCCTGACCTGACCTCTAGAAGGTTTCGAGGATACCAACTAGACCACCGGGGCGACCGGCATTCCTCCATGCGACTCGCCGAATACCTCACGGCGCTTCGCGCTTGGTGATGTGCGAGCCTGGTCCGGTGAATCCCCGGCGTGCTCCGTCCCGGCTTTGTAGGGCTGCGAGGTCACTGGTCTAACGACTACGGCATGCAAAACATGAGTTGTCCCCCCCTTATTCCCCCTGAACGGCAGGGCCGCAATCCGACCGCGGGCTCTTCGCAACGAGCGATCCACCAACGGCGCTGCTCGTAAACCCGTGGGTGGCGGGGCAAGGACGGCTGTTGCTGCGGAGTCGAAAGGTGGTGCCCGTGAGGATGGGGAGTCATCGAAGCCTCCCCCTTCCAAGAAATCAAACGCTGACTTCCGGGCTCTGTTCAACGGGAAGTAGCACACGGGCTGGTCGTGAAGCTGGTCGTTGAGTTACTGCTGATGCCGCTTCTGACGCGAAGATATGTTCTATGGGGGAAACACACTTGAATATTTTCGTGCTTCTGCTTGAACTGCGAGGCAACAAAGAATGAATCGCAAGGTGCTTGTGTGAGGTGCAGAAGGGAGAGGGAGGCATGGAGGTACTGGGATCATCCCTGGAATGGAGAGGGTCCGGTTCAGGCTCTCGTTACCAGCGTTTTCCATCGAATGTCGAAATCAACCAATGCCTTTGGTTGGGACAACTTGCCTTTTTTCCGCTGCGGGTTTTCGATATGGGGGATTGTGGTTCGAAGGTTAGTCGATATGGGATAGAAAACCAACACGAATGTCTGAACAGATTGAATAGAAACTCGGAAGTGAGAACGGGAACATGACGTTGCTTGCCAGGGTGGTGGTATTGGCTGTGGACACACGCGTTGGCAGTCCACGTGTAACTGTACGCTGCTCTCTGAGGTAGGCCGGTGCCATCCGTACTACATTAGATGTATTCGGGCAAGGAGCCCAGAAGATCGTGTTGACGTCGTCAACAGGACGGTCTTTGCTGTATTTGCGACGCTTGTACGTACATACAGTAGATCTTGTCGTGCCAGTTGAAAGATGGAAAGAGTCGGGAGAGGGCACCCCCCTGTCGAGCAAAGCCCAGAAACGATCAAAGTGAGCCCAAACGACTCCTGCTCGTCTGCGATGCCGGGGTCCGCCCCATATCGCAATAGAGTCATACATTGCAAATTTGCACACAAATAAAAGCATTCCGTTGTCGTGAAGTGACCGATGTCGTGGTTCTCGTGTGGAAGGGGGAAAGACGAGGCGGACCTTACAAAATCAAGCACGTTTATTCACTCTATCCTGCCCATTGGGAGCACGTTCATTCACTCTTTTATTTTGCCCGTCGGGAGCGAAGGCAACAAACAAAGTCACCGGGTCAGACTTCATTTGGCGTCCGCCAATCAGCTGTCTCCTTAACTTTTCGAGATTTTAGCAACTACGCCGCTTTCTTCTGGGCACCGCATTCGAACCAACCAGTTCACAGAACAATAAGCATCTGCCGGGAGTCCGCGAGATGCAACTGGCGCATACCACAAGCCCACAGCAGGATAGAACCACCGGTCTGTGAATGTTTGTAGTTTCACGACGCCAAGCTCACTGAGTGTCGACAACAAGTACGCTGTAGCACCAAGACGAGCTTGGCAACAGCGAGGAGAAGTATTACACACAATCGCACCCGCGCATATTTATGTTGACCTACAGCAGTACGCAGTAGTACGGTCGTACATGTTTCTCTGTCGTGTGCACGCCTGTCCTCTCGCCAGGCCACATCAAGTAACGTGATGATGATGATCCTCTGGCATCTCTGCCTCTGCTATGTGCTCTCTCTTTCGCTCTGTTGACTCCATCTGGGGCTCTTTGGAATGAATGAACAACCAAAAGCAGTGATGATCTCGTTAGAGGTTGAACCACTCGCATGGCAGCATATGTGCACGATGATTCTCGTGCTTCCGGGGTGACGACACCTCTGCTCTGGTGTCAGTTCTCCTCTCCTTGGGAAGGTGCATCATGTTGAAAACGTGCGGCCCCCAGATGGATTTTCACGCATAATCTATGTAGATGCGGTAAAAAAAATGCCGGAGTGAATTGGGTGCTGTTCCTCCTGTTCATTTACAAACGACAGTAGCAAGGGTACAGCAGGGGAAAACATGCAAACACCAAAAATATCCTTGGGCCGTTGATTGCAGTGGATTTCCGACGTGGTTTTTGAGTGTCAGAGGGAGGGCGAGGTGGGCCATTCGAAAAGTCAGCATGTTTTTGGGTTGCCTGTCTGCTGCTCTTTGGTGGAGACAGGAGGAGGAGGAGGCAAACCGACCTTGGGCCGTCAGAAGCCCAAACACACCGACAGGTGCTTTGACGTCACGGAGTCAGCAGAGAATCGATTCTGGTACAGGGGGGAAGCTCAGTCGGGACCAACTAACCCATGTTTGGCGCACGAGGAACGGCCGAAACTGTCCTACTGCGCCCGGCTCCTTAGCGTGTGTGTTGTTGTAGAGGGTCCACAGAACCGGCGAGAGCGCCCCTCGTCGCTATAGGCCCACTGTAGGGCCAGCGGCCGCAGCCCATGAACTGCAAGTCGGCCAGAAGGATCCAGTCCAGCACCACTCCAGCTCACCAGAGGAGAGCAGCAAGTCCTCCCTCCATGGAGCGCACGAGGCTTCGCTGCCAGCTCTCCCGAGCTGCTTGAGTAAGTGCATTATGGGCAAGACCCAAAAAAACTCAAGACGCTCCGCACCAGTCCGCACCCCCCGTGCATGAACCACCCACATGCGGAAAGATACAGCAATATGATCCCTGTGCGCCGACAACTGTTTGGCGGTACGAATAGCCTTCCCTCTAGAGTTGGGCCTTCCCTTGCCGCATCTGTGTGCCTGAATGCATGCGTGTGGTCGTTGCTTTTTTGCTGTGGGTGCTGCAAATTTTTTCAGCGGGGTTTCATAACACAAATGAGAACGTTTTGGGGCAGGGAATGTCCCCGTTCCGCTCAATTCCGCTAGTTTTTCTCCCCTTGCTTGGATGTCATAGACGACACTCAACACGCTCATCCCCCGGGCCTCCTTCTTCTGCGGTCTATCTCTCTTACCAGCCTCACGAAAGAGAAAGAGATGGAGCACGAAGCCCAAGCAGGTGAGGACAAAGATGGAAGTCTACTGATGAACGGATCCTTTTCGGAGGTATCTGTCAGACCCCCGTGTGTGGTACATTATTACAGTGTTGTGTCCAAGCTAATGGAACAATGTTGGGTAAACCGGGTAAACCGGGTAGGCCGAAGCTTGTAAGTTTCTGGAGAAAGGCAGCTCGGCCAGTTAAGGCCGAGATGGGAAAGTCTTGTATTCGAGGGAAGAGGGAACAGCAGAGAGCAATCGTGTCCGAGGAACCGAGGAGAGCGTCACCACGCCTATCCGTCACGCAATTCAGATCACTCATCGAATCTCCGAAGAAATCAAGTAGAAACTCCGCGTTCCTCCGCAATCTACCAACTGCAATATACTTTCTTCCCCTCGCTGCCTCGGCAAGGCTTTTGCTTAGGCATGGCCCATAGCGAGGGGGGGGGGGGTATTTCTAGCGAGCATGGCTAGACTCACCCTCAAGGGACCGATACCTTCTTGCTACGGCGCACCCGCCGCGAGGCGTGCGTAGTGGTAGAGTTGGGTCGGCACTGGTGCGTCAGGTACAAAAATGCAGATGCGTGGGCCTCATGGCCGTCGGTGTAGACAGCAATGTCCATCTCAGTTTTGTGCGCGGAAGCAGACGCCATCAGAAAGGTGGGCGGACACTATGTGCACGGCCCTCGGTTTGCTAGAGGGAGCTGTACTGTCGCAGTAACCTGGCTTCGCCATCAAAGGGTAGGAGGGAACAGGTGGTGACGAGCTGAGTGGGCTGGTTGACCCTTCGGCGCGAGAATTTTCAGACCAAGAACGAACCCGAAGTGCAACGAGGGAGAAAGCGAGGAACCGACTGGGAAGGACAGCAACGAGAGCGTGTACGGACGGAGCGGGTCGAGTTTGGTCGTGCTATAAATGTTTTCTTTCTCGGTTTTTCTATCGCACAGGAGTGCCAAGACGCCGATACGTGCCATGTACCCGATACCTGTGAGGAACATGAACTCAGTAAACGGTCGTGAAAATATAACGCACGCTGCGATGCCTCCGATCCATTCGGTTCTGAATAAATACAAAGCGGCGAAGTGGGGTGTTTTTTGAACGCGCACCCCCGTGCCAAGACTCCGATGTGTGCGATCCTGAACAAATCACAGCATACACACACCAACACTTTGTGTGCAGTCTTGCAGCATCAGGACCGCAACATAATGAACACAGAACACAACAACACACCAGGACCAGTTGGCAGCAGGTTGGCGCTGGAACGTTATCGTTGCAGCGGGGTTTTGGCCAGTAGATAGAGCAGAGGTCTGGTTCGGTGCCACGAACGATGAAGGACGTAGTGGCCCACGGGGGATGTACCGTTTTGCCTGGCAGTCCTTGTCCAGGTATTCGTACTGATTCCCGGTATCCTACCTGTGTTTTTCGTAGCACCGTAGTTGGTTGCGGTCGTTCAGTCTCGTGTGGTTTGTACGCGTTCTTGGTTGATTGAATATATACCGTGTGCCGATTCCGACCATAATAAAAACATAAAAATGTAGAAAATATAGGGGTTCTAAATACTAAAAACAACATCGCTTGCACATGATCAACGTTTCGATGCCAAAGTACCGCAGTGGGGCCCATGATGCAAGCAGCCGTGGTACGGTAGTAGCCGGTGACAAAAGCTGGTGGCATCACCCAACCTCGCCGAAGGTATCGGGGTTTGCGCACACCCCTGTGCCAAGTGAACGATACCTGTGCGATCAACATGGTGCGATAATCAATTAAATATCTTGGAACAAGCTTGGAACCCGATTTTTTTCCGCCCCCCCTGTGCCAAGACCCCGGCCTGTGCAATGTAGCCGATTCTTGCCAAGACCCGCATTCTTACTGTATGTACCTATGGTCTAGTCTTACCATCAAGGGGGCACACGGCTTGGGAGATTGTGTGAGCAAGTCAGAGGCCGAGGAGAGGCATTACACAGCATATCACACACGGTACCACCTTACCAAAGTATGATAGACCAAGGTTTCTCACGTACGTTTCACACAGCGGAGGCTAGGACGACTACGGTGCGGTAAACAGATTTTGGAGTGCTGAGTCTATAAAGTGTACCCATTTGGGCGTCCAGTACTATTATAAGAGGGTTTAGGAATGCAACCCACTTCTACACTGTTCCCAAGAGCATCAGCAGGACGTCATGAGGATCCACCTGGAATCTTTTATTGCTCTTCGTTATGAAAGAGAGCAAACAGTGGGGGGAGCAAGTTAGTGGGGACCTACGTTAGCGCGTGAGCTGTCTAATGTGTGGAACTGTTGATTTGTGACATGCATTTTGGTCCTGTGCCAGGATGCGTACGAAGCGAGACCGTGACATTTCCCTCTCTCGTCCAATTTCCGTCCCTCGTCCGAAATTTTCGGCCGCCTTCTATACCAGGTCCCAGCCAAGGCCTGAACGCGTTGATCGTGGCCGTCAACAACACTTGTAATGGGAAGGGGTGGTTCTCTTCCAGCCTTGACCTCCAACTCGTATCGCTGCAGCTCTGCGTGGCGTGCCGGAGCTTGGTGCCATCGCTAATATTGATGGTGAGACCGGGCACTCCCAGGCGCCTGTGGTTGCGTGGTGTCAAGACCGAGGAGACGAAGAAGAGCTTTTTGTCTCGTGTGCCGACCCTTCGAGCGCGTGAGGTGTGGTGGTACCTGCCAGTAGAGTACATTGGCGACGCGCTGGCGAACGTGAAATGTTTGACGCTTGGTGATAACCTGACGGAGAGCGTGGACCATGTTGCATGGCCAGTGTCCCTGGAGCAACTCAAGATGGGAAAGCACTTCAACCAGCAGGTGGGCGGCGTCTCGTTGCCTGCATCAGTGCAGCGACTGACGTTCGGACAATATTTTAACGAGCGCATTGATGAAATGTGTTGGCCAGTGTCGTTGCAGCGGCTGGTTTTTGGATGCGACTTCAACCAGGCAATCGACCAAGTACGTTGGCCAGCTTCGTTGCAGCGACTGGTGTTCGGAAAGCAGTTTGACCAGGCAATCGACCAAACATGTTGGCCAGCGTCACTGCAGCAGCTGGAGTTCGGAGATGCCTTCAACCAGGCAGTCGAGCGCGTGTCATAGCCGACGTCACTGCTGCGAGTAAAATTTGGGAGCAGGTTCAACCAGGCAGTCGAGCGCGTCTCGTGGCCGGCGTCACTGCTGCACGTAACGTTTGGGAGCGGATTCAACCAGGTTATCCAACACGTCACGTGGCCAGCGTCACTGCTACAGCTGGAGTTCGGAAATAACTTCAACCGAGCAATCGATCATGTATCTTGGCCAAGATTACTGCAAAAGCTGGTGTTTGGCTATGCGTTCACGCAGGCAATTGATCGTGTCTCGTGGCCGGCGCCATTGCAGCATCTGGAGTTCGGAGATAACTTCAATCAACCAATTTGTGGTGTTTCGTGGCCGGCGTCATTGCAGATACTGATCTTCAGGGGCGAATTCAACCAGGCAATCGACCATGTATGTTGGCCAGGATCACTAAAAGAGCTTGTGTTCGGATATGCATTCGACCAGCCGATTCATGGTGTTTCGTGGCCGGCGTCATTGCAGAAACTGATTTTTCCGGGTCAATTCGATCAGGCAATCGACCACGTCTCGTGGCCACCGTCACTGAAGTGGCTGGTGCTTGGACGCCTCTTTGATCAGGATATTAGATGCGTTGTGTGGCCGGCGACATTGCAGCGTTTGAGATGCGGGGGCTGCTTCCACCGAACGATCCATGACATTTCGTGGCCAGCGTCATTGCAGGATCTGACGTTCGGAGACCCTTTCAATCAGCCAATTGACCACTTGTCTTTGCCAGCGTCACTCAAGCGGCTGGAGTTTGGATCCAGATTTAACCAGCCGATTCATGGGGGTGAGTTGCCGGCGTCACTGCAGCAATTGAAGTTTGGAGACTGGTTCAACCAGCCGATCGCCGAAGTCGAATGGCCAGCGTCAATTCAGCAGCTGGAATTCGGACACTGCTTCGATCAGGCAATTGACCATGTTCTCTGGCCAGAGTCACTGACGCATTTGACCTTTGGAGGCTTCAACCAGACGATCGCCGAAGTCGCATGGCCGGCGTCAATTCAGCAGCTGCAATTCGGGCACAACTTCGATCAGGCAATCAACAATGTTCTCTGGCCAGAGTCACTGACGCATTTGACCTTGGGATACTGCTTCAATCATCCGATTGCTGAAGTCGTGTGGCCACCAACCTTAACACAGCTGGACTTGGGCATGTTCTTCAACCAGGAGGTTGGTGGGGATGTTTTCCCAGCGTCACTGCGGAAGCTAGCCTTAGGAGCAGCGTTCAGCCAGCCAGTCGACACCGTGGATTGGCCGGAATCACTGCGGGAACTAAGTCTCACGTACGACTCGCAGGAGCCACGCCCTGGTTTCGAGTGGCCTGTGTCGCTGCGGCGGCTGACAGTCTATTGCCCGCCTTGGGTGCAACTACCGGCCTGGCCAAGTTTGGAAGTTCGCAAAGATTGTAGTGCCTATATTCGCCAACGGGGGGATTCTTGGGACTGATCAAATGTTTCGGTTTCATTGCTGAGGGCAAAGCGTGCATATAGAGCGGTCTAGCGTGCGACCGTTGGTACTGTTTGGTTCACTTTGAACCTACATCGTAGCACTGTTTTAATTGCAGACAGCGCTTGTTCGTGACTGCTCGTGAGGGAAGCGTGGCCGATATTTCTCTATACACAAATGTGTGTGATTTCAGATCGAAGCTCTTCAGACATACAGGCAAGGCCGTGAAGTGCGAGCGACGTGGTTGAGTGAGTTGGGAACCTATGAAACGGACTTTTCTTCACGAGGTTTTTAGTGCCCGCACCACCGTCCAAATGGTAGCGAGTCTACGGCACAGGTAAACGTAAGTGCAGGCACAATTTAGGGTGGTTGGCCGTTGGCACTCGTGAGTTTTTTGGCGCTTGGGGCCACCACCCAAATAATTGATTGCGATTCCAAGACAAAGATCAATACGATTCTTACAGTGCAAAGTCCAGGCAGTGGATGGAAAATGCGCGTACCTGTAATGGCGAGTTATTACCGTGGTCATCGAAAGATGAAAAGATGGAGCCGGAGTGCGCACATGAATCTGGACTACATGTTTTTTCAGGTGTTTGGCGCTATGGGCTATTCGTAGGTCTCAGTGTGAAAAACATGTCTGCGAAAGATACGCGTCGAGCATGGGCTACCTTACACCAAGAAGATGAAATGAACGCAAGTGTGACATCGTCTGCGAACCATAAGCAGCACGATTTCCACCTCAGCACGATTTCGCACCTCAGCGGCAAATCTCCACCGCACGCACCCATGATGTACCGTAGCCTATGAGATGGCGGCGAACCACGAAGAAAGTGAACAATGAGCCACACGATTGACGTTTCGTACCTGCGACCTCCGACAAAGACGACTACAGAAAATAAAGCGTAGACAGACACTCGCGACGGAGAGGCGAACACACGGGATCCACCTTCATCCAAGAATCGGCGATGAAAGTCGCACAACTATTGGTTCACCCAAAGGAACGATGTGCATCCATTAGGGAACCGTTCTGAGGACTGGCACTTCCTACCTGTTGCCAAGAAATCCGCGCAGCCCAGGCGTCGCCGAATGGGGGAATACGAGTTGCTCGAAAGCGTACCGTGCGTGAAACACACACAGACACACCCCTCCTTTCTATATGGTGAAACGCCAATCACCGAAGGGAAAACACAGTTCCCACCTCACCCTGACACCATCGCAAGTCAACAAAATTCATGCCGCGCGGTGCTCACGTACGTTTGTCAACTTCTCTAAAAGTTGCCCGTCAACAACATCGGTAGCACCGTCATCGACCCGTGATCATCTGGGGGGGTAACGCCTTGTCAACCTCTCTATCGTTGCCGATCAACAGCGGCAGTACCATCATCGACCCGACGTGATCTGGGGGGTAACGCCCCCAATATCTCCCCCCCGGCCGTCGCCGGCCGCGCACACAACTCCGTCCATCGCCCCCAGCATCGACAGCATGTCCTTCTGGAATCCTACCTCCCGTTTCACCTGTACGACCAAATGTTTTCCAAAAAAGCAGTGACAACAAACCGCCGGGTGTACGGAGTGACGTAACCGTTTCCGGATGAAATGGCTGCCGCCCCCAAAGAGCTGGGCACGCGTGAACGCAGCCGTGGACATACGTTGGTTTTCGTTGAATCGGTCAGCGTTTCGCGGGTAGTACATAGATTGCTGCTGCGCAGCGTTGTTTTCGATCCACATGTGCTCCTACACAATGACGATGTTTCCAATGTTGCACGCTGTGTACTTGATGTGCGTCGATGATGTGCACTCTTCTGGATGCGCGTTCTCTCTATCCCGCGCGTTCTTTCTCTCTCTCTCTCTCGTTCTCTCTCTCTCTCTCTCCCTCCCTCTCTCTCTCTCTCTCTCTCTCTCTCTCTCTCTCTCTCTCTCTCTCTCTTTCTCTCTCTCTCTCTCTCTGTCTCTCCCTCATACTATTTCTCTCTCCCGACTAAGCCGCCCCCACCGGTGTTTGCCATCGGGGTTGGGTTGTTGTCGCTTGGCAGCGACGTTGTAACACAAGCCGATCACTTCGTGAGCTCAGCAACCAGGTTACAGATTTCGTTTTTACCTTCGTTTTTTTTTTGCGGTAACCATGAATGGTGGTGGTCGAGTAGATTATGTTGTGCGGGGTCGAGAACCCTCACTCCGCGCAAAGGGGATAATTGTACGTTGTGTTAAAATGGTCAGGCACCCTCGAGGCAGTTACACAGCGCATACAACTGTCTCTGGAAGCGAAACCACCAGAAAATAATTAGGTCATACGCAGCTGTCATCCGTAAGCAAGGAAGTAAGCACAAGATGCCGAACACCCTTAGCAGGATGCAGCGCACCCTTCATGCGACTCGCCAAATACCTCACGGCGCTTCGCGCTTGGTGATGTGAGAGCCTGGTCCGGTGAGAACCCGGCGTGCTCCGTCCCGGCTTTGTAGGGGTGCGAGGTCAATGGTCTAACGACTACGGCATGCACGACTATGAGTACACCCCCCCCGCCCCTCCCCCCGACTATCTCCTTGTTACGGATGAAAACGCCATTTTTTTTTCTACGGGCGAGTACGTCAGGGTAATGACACCCACACCGCGACATGGGTCAAGCTGGCCTCAAACGGCATCAACTTTCACACATCCTGGTGATGACTGAAAACAAAATGTTATCTTAATTTGTCGGCCGTCTGAACTACAGCAGAACGAAGCAAGGCTCTGTCACGACAAAGTTCGACACAAGAAAGGCCTACCTACCTGAAATTTTGACCACAAAACTCTCTCGCATATCAGCCCTCAGTATGGAACGCACTTCAAATCACAAGTTTAGGTTAATGCTTGACAGTTGACCCCAACACAAAGACCGTCAGGATCAAGATGTTGTCCCGACACATTACAGCAGGAGGACCCGCGGCCCGACCCCACGTCATTTTCACCGCGTACGTGCCCTGTGCCCTTGTGTCTGGATCTACAAAGTGTGATCTAAAGCCAAGGGGGCCACATGGGGACAGGGAGAAGGGAAGGGGGGGATGCACTCATAAACGCATGCCGTAGCCGTTAGACCGTAGACCTCGCATCCCAGGACGTACACACATGCCGGGCTTTCACCGGCCCAGGCTACGTTTGACAAGGATGAACCAGAAGCTGGTCAGTTTCCTTGGGTTTGCTGTGCCAACCCAGATGTTGACCGGGCATCCAGGAGAAGGGAACGGGAGGGTAAAAAACGAACACATGCGTCCTTCCAGCTGGGGGACCGCCTTCGCCGAAATTACTTTTTATGAAGAAATAGAATGGGGAGGGGGTACGCAGACTCTATCCCAAACCCAACCTCCCCGATTGCATATTTTATCTAACATGTTTACTGAACCATGAGCTACTGCTGTAAGCGCACAGTTCAGGAGATTGGGGTCCGTGGCGGTGAGCACGGCTGTGACAAATGTTGGATGCCGCTTGGTTCTGGCGCAGATTTCGGGCTGTGTTTCAGAGGCTGCTGTAACCTTCGATATTTCAGCTCCAGTAGCAAACCTGAACGTACCATCACGCACGAAGCCTCTTCATGGTGTCCTCTACTGATAACAGTACTAATTACCAGGTACCTGTCAACACAGATCTTATTTGAACGCCTGCCGTTTTGGCTCTTTTGACTTGAAATTAGAATGGGGCGAATTTTATCTTGGTTTCAAAGGGGGCGTGCGGAGGCAGACGCGTGAAATGTTTGTTTTTAGCAGCCTTTACTGTCGCCCTGTGCGGGAATCAACGATTTCTGTTTTTTGCGATGCCTTCCGACTGGTCTTGTGTGTCTGTTGTACAGTTTCTGGTGCTCTTGCGTATGTTTTCAAAATTAGTCAACATCGAACTTGCTGTTCTGGGGGCCATTAATTGAAAAACCCTGCGAGGGCAACTGCTGGGAGTTTCCTCCACAGCAGGTGGTTCGTGCCCTCAAGGTTTCACCTGAGCTCGTAGCTTCGCGAAGAGGCCGAGGGCCTTAGGGGAAGACGCCACAACGTCCCCGTACATATCCAGCACGCTCGACGTGACCGCGATGAGCTGCTCCGTATGTCGAGGGTTCGTGAGGTGCCTGCGACGCAGAAAATAGCAGTAGTTCGCGAACCGTCGGGGGAACGGTCGTGGAAGGCGTGACCGTGAGAACACTACAGTCCGACACCAGTCCAAGCGGGGAACACCGTTACACAGTCCGAATAGCTCCTCGCCTGATACTAGCCCCCTCCTCAGTATGACGGCAAGAGATGGGGTGAGTGGTTACTGCTGCTTTCGTTGTTGCCTTCACATTAAAGACTTGTGAGTGAAAAAAAAAAAAAAACGCGTACGCAGCAGTTTGTACCGTCCGTCTCGGTACTCTGTGACTCCAGAATCAGCACCCCCCGCTGTCCGGCCATCTCCTCCTCCGCGGGGGGGCCGATGGCGGCTTCGTGGTATCACATTGTCGCGTGTTTTTGTCCCGTCGAAAATTCAGCGGCTTCATTTTCAGCCGGTTATCACGATCGGACGTAATGAAAAAATCTCAAACAAAGGAGAACCTACATAACCTTAGCACGACATAACCAGAGGAAAACAACAAACGCATTCTCCGGCGGCTACCGTGATCGATCGTGATGGAAAAATCTCACACAGGAGAACCCAGACTTGGCACAACACGTGAAGAAAAACAGAAAAAAAAAAAAAACTCACTTTGCCAGGTACGCAACGACAGGCTCGAGCCCCGCCGCATCCCTCCCCGACAGCGCCTTCTCCAACGCCCCCCTCTCCCTCAACGCCTCCAACAGCGCCGCCACTACCAGGGGGCTTCCCGTAGCCAGACCCCTGTCCAGGGCCTCACGGAAACGAAACTTTCGGAGAGACTCATCGTAGGAGGCGATAGCTCTGCTTCTCCTCGCCGCTACCTGCGTTTTTTTGCCCACATTGTTTTTTGTTTTTTTTCGGGGCGGGGACAAAAGGGTTAGAGAAGAGAGAATGCCGCACAACAGAAGAAAAATAAACGAAACGTTGGACGCATTGATGCCTCAGATTGCATGTGGAGACACAAGCAGAGGGTGGCAAAGAGGGCGTTTGTCTCCGCATGCGGTGTGTCTCGCTTTTGAGTCGTTAAACACAAGCAACATGCAAAATATGTGCTTTCACTGACGATTAATTAGTTTGCTGCAGAAAAACAAATGCCGTGCGTGTTGTTTTGCGCTCCTCCGTGAAGCGGCCAGTCAAAAACGCTGCTCGGAACAGGGCCAGAACTTTCCTAAACAGACACCAATCTTCTGAACAGTTGTTAAACGACCGGCATGTCCTTCAAAAAAGTGTAATTTTCTATACACAATTCCCAAACAGCCAAAGAAAACAAGGAAAGACCGTCTTTCTACTTCCATACACACGAGCCCTGTCGCCTCCACCATGAACCCGACTCAACGTACACAAAGAAAAAACAGCAACTCACCTTCACGTCCCCTTCCCCGGCCCCCTCCGTCTTCCCTCGGTTGAAATACCTGGCCGTACCGGTGCGGACAGATCGGGGACCCCCGTCTGATCCCACGGGCCCCCCGATTCTCCCCGACTTGGCCATCTCCCTCTCCGCTAGTGCCGCCGCGTGGCGGAGGTCCCTTCGCCGTATCGTCAGCGCCCGGTCCGTGGTAGCGGCGACGAGCGACGAGTTGTCGGGCGCCAGGGCAAGGGCCAGCACCGGCGCCTGGTACTTAAGCATGTGTACCACCTGGGTGGGCAGAGTGGAGGGGGGGGGGACGGGGGGCGTACTCATATGTTTTGCATGCCTTTGCGGTTAGACCATTGACCACGCGTCCTCGAGAGGACGGAGCATTGTTCCCACAGGGCCGATCACCGATGGGCAGGGTGGAGGGGGGGGTCGAAAAAATCAGCCTCCCATGTGCATGTGGGTGCGGGAAGCATTTTTTAAACATGTGTACCAGTGACACCGCCATGCATGGCGGGAACCGCGCTACGCCAGGCTCTAGTTACGACAGGGCTCCCGGTAGGAGGCGGGAAGAGGGAAAACATGTGTCAGATGCCCAGAGCCTGGTGCTGGGGGCATATTATGCACCATGCGAGGGTGCACATGGATGGGGGCAACGGGGTGAAGCCGACATACTGAAGAACGAGTATGGCGCTTCGCGATGGCTGTGACAAGTGATTCCCGGGAGCGCATCGAAACATTTGCTCACAACCTCCATTGCAGCAGCAGCAGCAGCAGCAACCCACCTTGAAGTTCTCGAGGTTGTAAATCTTGACGTGCCTATCCAGCCCCCCCGTCAGCAGCCGCGATCCGGTGCCATCCAGCGCGAGGCAGGTCACCGTCTTCTGGTGGTTCGCCAGCGTGTGCAGCAGCCGTCCCCCCCCTCCCCCCAGCAAATCCCACACCTGACGAAAAAAAAAAAAATGCGAATCACTCGCAGGCTGAATGTGACAGGACACGCCCACCCACCCCACTCTCCGTCTCCAACTACAACCCGAACCGGATCCATCTTTTCAGTGCGGGTCATGGATTGGGTTGGTGGATGCTGTAGCGACGGGGGTAGTGATGAACTGGTACAGTGGCGAGCGATATTGTGGCCAGCGTCATTGCTGGCTTGATCGGGAACAGCAGTGACCAACCTCTCAACCAAGTGCCACATGGGACAGGAAACTGACGAACGGGGAGTGAACGTCTAGACGGCGGTGGTGATGGTGTGCGTGCTTGTAGTGTGCACCATTATGAGCAGTGTTGAGGTTGGAAACCGTCACACCGCAGCCGGACGCCAGCTGTGGGCTGGTCCTACTCCCTGCTTATTTTTTCATCTTGCTTCACCCCTCCATGACACTGCTGTGCTCCTATGAGCCAGCCCACTCCGGAGGGATCACTTGAACACTTGGCACCAGGTTTTGTATGGGGCCAGGCTCAAGATCTTTCGTTTCGACAATCTTGAACCGTTAACCTGTCATATCTGCCGTGGCTTAAAGTTCAGGCGCTTGCTGTACCCTAAAAAAATGAGACACTCGCCTTGACCTCGTTTCCGCCGGCGCTGACGCAGAGACCCCCCCCCCCCAAAAACAGGCACGCCTCCACCGGAGCCCCGTGGGAAAGTTCCAGGACGTTTCCCTTGGGTTGTCGGGTGTCCCACATCTTGACGGTGTGGTCGTACGATCCGGAGATCCAGGTGTCCGGGCTCGAGGGGGAGGCCGCCAACGCGCGCACGTAGTCCGCGTGGCCTTGCCTGACCTGCGGTTTGTTGCGGCAGCGTGTTTGGTGAAGAACCACGCGCAAGGTGACTATTCCATTCCGTTGTGTATTTGGGACGATACAAAACAGTGATATTGTGAGATTGTGTACGGCATTCACCTACAGCACCTGCTACACAAGCAACGCATTCATCATCTTCATCACCAACACAAAGGTCGATCTAGCACCACTGTGAGAAACAACGAACAAAATCTAAAACAGCACCAGCACAATCACACCCGACAACATATCCAGACACAACTACCACCACCGCCACCGCCATCAGCATTAGCACCGATAAAGCCGCAACTGCCAGAAAATACTACAACACCAACAGCAGCAATAGCAGCATCACAACCGCACTTCCTACACCAATGCGACATATCTCTCAACACCACTACCGCCACAACCTTTAGCATCAACACAGGGAAGAACCGCCACCAGAAACAACTACAACACCAACAGCAGCGCCAGCATACTCACATCAACAGCTCTTGCACCAACAGTAGTACGCCATCATGCACAATCTACTGCTGCTGCCGATAACCTGTCGATGCCCTCCTACCACACATGTCGCCAACGTGATCATACAACTGCTAGACAACACCTGAAGACAACATGGAAACAGGGTGCACCAACCATAGTCTCAGAGCTGCACACACACCCAACCTAGCCTACATTGTACGTTGATTGCTGCTGCTACCACCCCTGCCACAGCCACTAGCATCAACACCGTCCAAGCACCACCAACATCGGCAACAGCAACCATCGATACAGCAGTGCTGAAAGTTCCCTACCTGGACGGCCGTAGACGTTGGCAGATCCCACAGGCGGAGTGTTTTGTCGTCGGAGCCGCTGGCCAGTTGAAGCCCGTCGCAAGACCATCTCACGACTCGCGTAGGCGCCTTGTGCTCGCGGAATGCTCGGAGGATGCCCTTGGTCTTAACGTCGATCACCTGACACCACAAAAAAAAAACATGGGGTTGCTGGGTAAGACATGGAGGTGTTGCTACGCACGCATGAGACACTGCTTGTCAACGCCATGTATAGACAGGCATGTTATCGCAGCTGACGGGAAAAAATGTACCTAGACTAGAGAGAGAGCGGGAGAGAGCGAAAGTTCGTGGTGTACAACTGATCGGCTGCAAATGGGCGATTCCGTGAAATAACACGGTAGTTCTCCCCTCGCTCAAGTCAAGTCAGGGCACCTGCCTCCCATTCCCTCCGTGATGTCGACCTCTATGGACCAATCGACGGAATCAATCACATTGCAAGAATCTTTCGAGGCATGAAAGGCTCGATAGCGTCTCCCGTATCAGCGACTACGGAAAAACTCTGACTACGGAAAAACTCTGGAGCAAGGCTTGCACGACCTGTGCCACATCTTACGGCGAGAGAAGGAGAAGCCCGCGACAAGACAGCAGCAAAACCAGGAACCGTGTGTTCCGGCAACATGTCGACTACCCAGCTTCGAAACGTCCTTCCTCTATCCCTTATTTTTACAGCAGACGTAGTTCCTATTTCTGTTTCCCCCCCCGACCCTCAGCAGGATAGAGCGCCCCCTCCATGGGACTAGCCGAATACCTCAGGGCGTTTCGCGCTTGGTGATGCCCGACCCTGGTCCGGGGAGAAACCAGCGTGTTCCGTCCCGGCTGGGGGGGGATGGGGGGTCAACGGCCAAAGGATTGGGGCATGCACGATTATGAGTACGCCCCCCCCTCACTGCCCCCCCCCCCCCCTTCTCGCCTTGACGGTCCCGGTGTGGTCCCCGGTCCCCATGAGCTTCCCGTCCGAGCGGAGCTGAGCGCTGTGCGCCACGTGGTCGAAGCGGCCGACGCTCCGAATCTGGCGCCCGGTGGCCGCCGCGTGCAGGGAGACGTGCGTGGAGCACGTCACCGCAAAGTCGTGCGGGGCCGTGGCGCTGAAGTGGATGCATGACACCGGCGCGTTGTGGGTCTGGACAAAGCGGGGACGAGCGGGGATGTAGTTAGATGACAGCATTGACGACCTGAATCTGCTGCCCGTAGGCCAGCTTCCAACAGGGAAGGGGGGAGTCCGAGCTATGCTGTCCAACATCGCGCACGAGATATAAGGTAAGGTCGAAATACACGGCAGAGTCAGGTGTCGTAGGCGGGGGTGAGGGGGCGGTCGTTTAGCGCTCCATGAGAGAAAAAAGAGTGACATGTGGGTCCATACAGCGGGAGGGGCGGCAGGGTGCAGGCCACGGTTTCATGAGGAACGGCCGTAGATTTTTTTTTTTCGTACACACATGTGATCAACTCGTGTAAGGCATACGGCTCGCACAGTGCAAGCTTGTTTGATACGGGTCTGTGCCATCAGGGTCAGGCTCTTGCCGCTTCAAGTGGAATTTATTTTGGCAAGATGGGGGGAGAACATGATCGTATTCGTTGGTACCAAAATGTACTACGTAGACCTCTGGTGGAATGTGTGCCTTCGTACCGATTTTTTAAGCAGGTACTTCATCGGCGACTAACTGCAGCATGGTCGGTTCTCTCTTTGAAGACAGGAGTAGCAGGTGCACAAGACATCCTGCATATGCATACCACTCTTTATCTTGTTAATTTTCTGAAAATCGAAGCAAAAACATGCGTTGTACTGCTCTAGGGAAGGCACTACGTTGCCAAAGTAAATGTTAACTTCAGGAAGCGCCCATACAAAACTTCTCCGGCGTACGCCAACAGCCGAGTGTCTCTATGTCCACCATTGTGCCCAATATGTGGAGATTGATGGCAAGGGCGCACATGACAGGAAATAACCACGCTGGTGTAGTGTGCAGCAGTGTTGTATAGCAGTGTTGCATCGTTGCGCTGTACATTTGAGGAAGGAAACACAGCAGCCGAGCGCAAAAGACCCTACGCATAGACTACTGCTAGTGTAGCTGTGTGTTTCGCAGAGGTGACTCTTCCCGGCAAGTCGGTGGAGGGCAGTGCTGTTGCTGTTGCTGATGGTGTTCTCCTGCTGCCGCGGCTGCTGTGGCAACATCGTATATAGTACTGCAGGCGCCAGTCTGACATCTGTACACCCCACATACTGCAGTGTAGAGAGAAACCAGCGCCGTAGACAAGGCTATTGAATGCGATGGAAGATTTGGCAGCCCCTCGCCCTTCTCGCGCGATGAGCGCAGAGCCAAGAATGCACACCCAGCACAGACTCGGCGCAGCGGCGGCGGTGGTGTTGGCGACGGTGGCCGTTCCGTTAGCGGTGACAGCAGTATGACGACACCAGTCTACACCGCGAGCAACAGCCGCAGGAGGGCATAGAGCCAGGAGCATCACCACAACTCTACTCCCGTCCCGCCGACACCTCTTCATCACCCCCTCGTCACGTCGAGGTTAGGGGGGTCGACGTGATCGACGACGGGGGGGCTCCTAGGACAGCTCACACCCTGTGGTAGCATGGTAGCCAACAACAGCAGATCTGGTCCTTTCAATCGCACCTGGACTTCGGGGTTGGTGAAATTTCGCCAGTATCGCGCCTCCGCGGTCTCGCGCTCCTGAACGCGAGGGAACCGCTTGATCGTCAGGCGCTTATACGACGAAGACATCCTCCTGCCCTTCTCCTCTGCCCAGCTAACACAGCTATGTTCAAGGGACGTGTGGGTGCAGCAGAGGAGCAGAGGGAGGACCATGACCCATGCGGCGCAACCTACACGCCATGGCCTACGTGGGTATCCTATTGGCCAAATTTTGACGTTCCGTGCGTAAGAGGCAAGGAGGCAGCAGTTTCTCCGCCGCATTTTCCCCGCGACCCAGCGACTCGCGCGTGGCATATGCGTCTTCTTTGGTGTTTGGGTCTCTCTCTCTCTCTCTGAGCGGGGTAGAGTGGACACACTCTCGTCGTACACCGCTCAGTCTTTCGGGTTCAGTACCTGTGCGGTAGAATCAGTTGCAATGCCTTCGAATGGTACAGTACTGCACAGCACTACCAAGCAAAGTTTGAGAGCATGCAGTTGCGGCTTGGAGAGTACCTAAGGAAAAATAAATACACACACAGAAAGACTACCCATTCGAGATATACCCACAGTTGAACGAGATGTGGTGGAGTCTTTTCAGTGAGTGGAGGAAAACCGGCTGGGTACTGGACTTATTTCGAGAGTACTTCTGCGGAGGACGCTACACTACAAGTCGGATAAAAAAAAGCGCGCTCGCCTCCTCAATGGATTTCTGAGTGCACGGCGTGTAGAACTCATCGGACTGCAAGCGAGGCACGCACACAGCGGGGCTCGTTGAAGGACAACTTGCATACAAGGATAATAGAACGTGTCTTCAACACCATTTTGAGCGAGAGGTGCTCTCCGCTGTAGCAAACTACTGCTATAGTTGCCCATCCGCCGTACCATCCCTTGTGAGGGGGATCTGCATCAGACTGCCTACAAGAAATGGGATGGTCAGAAGCAATAGCGCCGTTACAAGCACCACTGATTCAGCATGAAGAGGACCACAACAGCGAACAACACCATGCTTGCCGCACGACACCCACAAAGCTGTGGCAAAACACAACGTTCCTTCTTGGGCACTAGCCTCAAAAACTTTGCACGCGCGTTCAAGAGAGAAGCCAACTCTGCTCGACGTTGTCTTGGAATCGGCATCGAGAACCAACACTGCAAGGTAAGTGCCGTCGTATTTTTCGAGCCCCGACAATATGCAACAAACTGCTGCCCACACGCCAGTCACCTTCAAGGCCAACGTCGACGCCGAGCACTGGGCTGCCATTTCTAGTTGCCCAGAAAAACTGCGAACTCTGGTGTACTAATTATTCCGACAGTTTCCAAGGCGTCTCCCGTTCTTGTCTCTGCAAAGCCCACATGCTATTCTCCCACCCATACTCCCTTCTTGCTATAGTACCTTATATCGCAAAGTGGTGCTTGCTTCCCGCCTTTACACATCATTGTATTGCTCTGACTCAAGAGCCAAAACGGGAGCTCTTGTATGTAGTGTCAAAATCGTGTCCTCCTGGAATTCCGGGGAAAAAAGCTAAAAGAACACTGCCTTCGCCAGCCAAACGGCACCGATGGTGATGGCCACGAAGGACGAGACCACCGAAAGCTTCCTCGGTATGTCCGGCTGGTCCAAGGCCTTGCCAACTCTTACGCTACCCTCCCCGATCAAGGTAGTGGTCGCCGACATGGCCACCTGAAAAGGCACCCCGGCGAAAAGAAACAACACGAGAGACGAGAAAAAGGGGGGTGTTCATGGTCAAGGAGGGGTACTCGAAGAGGGGGGGGGGGGGGGGGGGG